GTAGATGCCATACAGTGAAGCACGGACATCTATGTCATTGTACTTAGATCATTACCTGTTAGCTGGTACAGTTGATCAAAGTCAGGAGAGATGAGTAATTATGAGCCATGAATACTACAAATAAAAGCATTCAAAAACCTTGGACTATCAAAGGAAGTGAGCTTGTGATGTATCTTGATGGTGAGAAATTATCTAGCGAGCGTGGTTGTGTGCATATACTATAAAATGGACGATGGGTATCTAAGTATGCTGCTGGCATATGTACAGCGAATGGCGTAGTTGCAGGAGCAGCAACTAAGCGATATTCGACATGAGTTCAAGAGCCCAATTAGGGTGATGAAGGGCAAGATTAAGTGGACTGGTAGACGGCAACATAGGCGGTCTCCATCATGCTTCCCCAGCCGCCAATGGTAGAGCCATCCGGGTTTCCGGGCTGTAATCAGTCAGTTAAACGAACGTTGAATAAGCTTTGTAAAGACATCTACTTACCCAGTTACCGCCAACGGCAACGTTCAAGATGAAGAACAACGGCGCGCGAGCCAATGTGTTCCAAATACCTTCACTCCCGATCCTGGCGCCGCTGATCTGATGAAACTGCTGCCCGTCACGGAACCACGTAATCGTCTCCGTCTGCCAGTTGCCAGGCCGACGATCAATCTGCAGACGCCAAGTGTGCCACCCCTGATCCGGGATGCCAATGTTCCCGCCGATACCGTTAGGCTCGTTGCACGCGCCGCCGGGGAGGACATCGCAGTGGACGGTCCCGTACCCCGTCAGCTGCCCGTTGACAGTCTCGAGGATGTCGAGCTCACCACAGCGAGGCCAGCTGACGCCGTTACGGATGGCGTCGCCGAGGATCCAGAAGGCAGGCCAGATGCCCTTCTTGTTAGCGATGGCGTTGTCGCCGAAGCGGATCTGGGCCTCGGCGACGGTGAGGCGGCCGGCGGCGGGGGTGAAGACGTAGCGGGACTCGATGCGGCCCGAGGTCCAGGCGCCGTTGCCGTCCTTTTGGGGCACGATCTGGACGGTGCCGCCACCTGAGATTTGGAGGTTGGAGCGGGAGGTTGTGTATTCCTGGATCTCGTTGTTGACGTGGAGGTTGGTGATGATGTTCCAGTTGCCGCCGTTGATGGGGTCACCCGAGGCGCCCGGGAAGCTGTCTTGCCAGAGTCGGGTGAGGCCGGAGTAGTTTGGAGAGTCCCAAGCCCGGGTGGCGGCCGGGAGGAGGAGGAGGAGCGTTGAGAAGATGGAGTTTGAGTACATTGTTGCGATGATGCAAAGCTCTAGGAGCTAAGGAACGTAGTCGGTGTTCTGGATGTCTGGTCTTGCAAAGATGGCCTCAAGGAGTGAATAGAGTTTGAAGCAAACTACTTATCCAAAGTGAAACTGGAAGGACTGTGACGGAGAGGGTTTATAAGAGAGAAGAGAAAGAGACTGTAGCTATTCGAAAAGGAAAGGCATGTCTTGGGGAGGGGCACAAGATCACGACGGTGGATGTTGTCGTCGGGGGGAAGGTCGCACGAGGAGCGGGTTGAAGACCATGGGGACAGAACGGGAAGCATTCATCATGGGACTTACTGTATATATACAATAGGAAAAAGGCCAAGTGTAAGCTTGCAGATGTAACATTGAACGATGCGTGCCGCGTTGGCCAAGGACCAAGGGTTCACCTCTGCCCAGCCCTTGGAACAAAGAAGGGCTCCTTCAGCGGCGGGAGCAATCCGCATATCGAATCTAGACTTGCATCTTGCAAGGCGTAGTGGTACTGTGCTGTAGTCATCGCCGCCCGGTGGGCTACGGGGGGGGGGGGAGTTGTCCCTTTTTCCTTCCTGTTTAATGACAAGAGTCTCCGAGTCTCAGAGCTGCGTCCAATCTTCAGCAGAGAACGGAGGTCTCAAGGAGGGTGGATGGTAGTCTGGTTCATATATGCTTACCCCCTGTGCTCTCTCCGTCGTCTAGTGTTACACAGGGCAAGGCAATCGAACTTGGGTGGTCCGGTCTAGAATATCAGATGGCACATGTACGTCCCCGCTACTCACCTCGAAGACCGTGCCCCAAGCCCACGAGAATGGGTGCACCACGCGGTGTGAGAGCGATGGACTGAGGAAGCGTGCTCCTCTGAGACATGGTCCGCCGCGGGACACACGTCCACGTCCTCGGTGGCTCCAATATCTCGGACGGTGGTGCCCCCTTGCGCTGTGATCACGGCCCGGCCAGTCTGTCAATCGCGAATTCGCGGTTGGCACGGCCAATATTCCGAGATGAGGCGGGCGCATAAGCGGAGCGCAGAGACTTGTGGCTGGCTTGACAAACGTGCATAGTACATGTAGTTTGGCAAAAAAGAAAGATTAAGGCTCAATAAGGGTGGCCAATAGAAGTCGAGAAGGACCAACTGTACCGAGTATGTCCCTGTTCTGGGAAACACCGGGAGGACTGGGGTGGCTTTTGAGCCCCCAAGTGTGCCCTCGGGAGAGGCTTCGTTTCATTTTGGACATCTGCCAATCGGCGATGGAAGATGACAAGGCTTTAAAAGCGCCCCGCGAGCGGAAAGAAGGGGGACCACGGGGATGTCGAGGGATCGGTACCAGCGGCGCGGCTCCAAGGCCTGTGGTTGGTTGCGGCTTGAACAAACTGACCCTGGCGACGGCCACGCGGGAAGTGGCATTCGACCGCCCTCCCTGGTCCATGGAAGAGGTTCCCCTTCAGGAACCCGCAGATGATTCCGAGGTCTGGGCCTGCTTCGCTTTGGCAGACCTTTGATATTGTCATATTGAACTCCCTTCTCGTCTACGGTCTTGGGGTCTTGGGGGTGGATCCCGTCGCCAAGCGGGATATTGTTTTCGTCACGTCCAGTGATTTTGCAGAAGGACCCCAAGACTAACGGAGAGACATCAGGCGAGAGATATTGGTGACCTTTGTGCGACGGAGGCCAGCGAGAACATATGGTAATGGCGGTACCTGAACGCCACCGCGCTAGCGGCAGTTGTGCAAATCAGTCTAGTAAACTGCAAGATCTAGACACCTGCACTGTGCAGATTAGTTGTTGCCCCCCTTTTACTTCTTGTCATGTTTGGCGCAATAAACCAAGTGCTTGGTGTTGGGAAAGGTGACGTTGCAGGCCCCCAAAACACTGCACGCGGTAGCAAATGTGTACAGCTGCGCTTTTGACAGGTTCAGTGTCTTAGCCAGTCACTCTCCTCTTGGGAAAAGGGGGAAGATGGGGTTCTTCTGGGCATAACCCGTCCTGCACCTGACATTACTTGTGTCCAAACAAGGCCAGTTTCAGGGAACCCATCAATCAGCCAGCCCAGACTATTCTCTTCTGACTGGCTATTCGTCCAAGTTGGGGGATTAAAAGAGCATGTGAAAAAAGTTCGATGGCACCTTGCCAACACGGCTTTAGTGCGGGTGAGGCGCCTAAGCCAATGCGAATAACTCCCTAGGTTGGATGCGATTCGGAGTCTGATTGGTTGGGGTTAAAAGTGCAAGGGGGGACCGTGATCCTGAAGGGGAAATCGCTTTTGGTGTGGTGGAAGTGTGTGGATGAGTGGATTGGACTGGACGCGTGCGTGGCATCAACATAGGGTTGCAATAGAAGGAAAAAAAAAAGGGATGGAAGAATCTAACGATTGGAAAAATCTAGACATATCGCGTCATGGGGAAAGCCTCATGATTCATGTAGTCGCCTTCTCATTACTAAAGAGCACCTTGCTTCATGACAGTGCCAGTCAGCAGCTCTCGGTCACTTGGCCGGCACTTGGTGGACCTCCCGACCCGTAAGCCGGCACTAACCCCACAATTCCCCGCGGTCTTGAGATTCGGCGCTGGCGGTATCACCTCGGCGCGATCGTCTCAGTAAGCTGGTCATGCGACCAGGTCACGTTCTCAAGGTATAGAGAGATGTAAATCAGTGTGCATCAAACATCATTGCGCTTATCACACATCTGCCTCTATCTGCTGCGAGTGATGACATAATTACGCTCTTTCGCGGTGATCAATTTTCTCCGAGATTTCTGCCTGGGTCACGGTGTTATGGGACATGTCTGGGAGTTCAGCGCGGGTTCGCAAACTTCAATATGTCATGGATGTTGACTCGCTCACTGGGATCGTAAACCAGACCAAAAGGACGACTTGAACCCAATGGTATTTGCAGTACGATGTCTACCTTTATTTAGGCCCTCCATCTGGGCTAAACGAAGATAGAAACAAATCCAAATTTAAAAGACACTGATGTAAATGGTCTATCATGAAGGCTAAGGTATATGTATCTTGTGCATCTCAGCTTTTACCCAGGGTTGAGTTGATGGACTATCGTATTTACTTCAATGATGCACTGGCTAAATCTTGAGGCACAATTTCGGCCCCACTTATTCGGCTCCGACGGGCAAGACTTGTTGGGTCTGCTTTGAGCGCTCTACATATCTGACAAAGGAACCTGCTATTCCGTAGCGTGGTGTCAGATGTTGCGCCATCCAACAATACTCATTTTGAAGTTCAGATGAACGAGATGCCCGTAGCATTTCCAAATTTGCTTGATTGAAGTCGCATGCAGTATACATGTATTCTACTTAGGAAAAACAAAGGCAGAGGGAAAAGCAGCAATCGCCGGCTAAAATTCGGAAATGAGTCTCTATGACAACCTGGGCAAGTGTCAGTAAGGGAAACATGGAAATCCTATTTGAAAACTTCTCATCGCTCAAAGCCTCTACATCACACGCATACGACCAGTATCACACATCGTCTTGGCAAGACATTCTGTGATCCTCAAAAATGGCAGATTATCAGCCGCCCAGTATTTTCCCAAAGACCGAGAACAGTATCTTCACGTTCTCCGCCGAAAAATCGCTAGTACCAAAACCAATTCTTCCCATCCGTTCACCCCGTCCAAAATCGCCAGAGAAGCCAATACCCGAGCCAATCATCTTGGATGAGCGCGGCGATTTACGCCGCTTCGGGTATGCTCGAGGTCCCTAGCCCGGGTCTGTCCAGTCTTTGCCAAAATGCTCTTCGGCGGATGGAAGGAGTCCTGCCCGCAGATTGCGAATGGGCAGGTAGAAGCCACTAAGAGTGAAGCAAGCAAAGAAGAAGTGAGTAAAGACGAAGTAAGCAAAGGCAAAGCAGGCGAAGGCGAAGGCCCAGCAAGCAAGGATGAAGCAGGTGAGGGTAAACCTGGCGAAGTCGAAGTAAGCAAAGACAAAGCAAGCGAGGGCGAATCAGCCGAAAGCAAAAAGGCAAACGACTGGATCATTGAGCTGCCAGAGGATGGGCTCGAGGAGATGATTCTAATGCTTGAAATCATTCATGGCCACTTCGATCGCGTACCGTTCAGCCTGAGCGTTCGCAGGCTTCATGACCTTCTCGTACTCTGTAACAAATACGATGTGCTGTCCCTTCTGCGACCTTGGAGTTGGCACTGGCTGAGCGCGATGCGCTCGACCCTGGACGAGCCGTATGTGCTCTGGGTCGCTTGGGAAATGGGCGACGTTTTGCTGTTCCGCGACATGGTGGTCAGGATAGCCGAGGGCGTGCCGATTTCGGCTCTCAACAACCCAAATGTAATGGGGGTGCAGTATGGAAAACAACGGATGCACTGGACACCTCAAAGTGGCCAGATCAATGAGTTTCCGATGGTTCCACTTGATTGTCTCCAGAACACGAGCGCAGATGATCTTTCAGGTAATATATTGCATCTGTTTTACCCTACACTAAGTGTTGAGCAAGGACGGCAATATGTCTTGCCTAGAGAGAGAAAACCCTTGCTAACGCGTTCGGTATACTAGACCTCATTTCTCTTACTCGTCTCATGTTGATCGAAGCTGCCGTCAAGCCTTACCGCACTATTCTATCACAGATGAAGAGCAAAACTCACTCCTCGAACCAGAATGCAATCAAAAATAATTGCGTAAAGAACTGCATTCCGAGCGGCGTCGGTTCTTTGGTCCTGGCGGGGACCCCCGGCTACCTTTCAACTTCACAGGGCACTTGAAGCTGATTGCGGACCATCTCGCTGGAATCAAGATTACTATTCCGCAAGGATGTGGGAACTGTCTCAAGATGTTCTCAGATGAGCTGACAAATGCACGCAGTGTGATGACAGCAGCCATCAAGTGCATAGCTCCCCTCTCAAAGGACCAGCAAGCGCATCTCGAAAAACGGGCCTTTCAACTTGGATTGAGAGTAGAAAACGTCGTGGATCAGGGCGCTATGCACATATGGTACGGATCTAACAACTGAGTCGTTTAGTGTCCTGATATTTCTATGTTCATAGGTACTTGGAGGAAGGAAGGTATCACATGTAATTACACGTTTCTGTTTCCACACACGTTCGTCGTTGGGCATTCGTCTGTCTAAGGTATTCGAAGCCAATCATGACTGTTCCTATATCCTATCACTACCCTGCCCAATCAAGGGCATTCAATACAATACTATGTTTATATTTTATAGTCGTTCAAACTTATCATAGATCTATCCAGCAAGGTCAAGAAGTAGAAAATAGGGTCGACGTTCATACATTGATACTATCGGCCAAAGAAAACACTACAGGTGGTGTTCAGCAACTGCCTGGTTGAGACCACGTGGCCTCGGCAGGGCCTAGAGGAGTTGGCGCCATCACGACTATTCTACGCCTTGATATCTCCCCTATGGACGGGCCATCGCTTACTACAGGTTTTCTAGAACTGAAAATCAACAAAGAAAAAAATGTATGCGCGGCGTACTGAAAAAGACGCAGAGAAACAAAACAAATATCAAGAGGTCCAAAAGACAAAAGAGTTCACCCCCCGGTGCTGAACTGGGGACTACATCTCTGGTGCTCATGCTGGGATTCGAACTCGGATACTCGTATGCGCTAAGCCTGTCGTCGAGTAGGCTGGTTGGCGAAGATAATTGATGTTGACCATTAACCATTCCACCACCACGCCACAGTTTGACCTGACCCCCGGCCTAGGAGACGCCTGCTGTGCTGGTGACAGGAATTGCGTTGGAGGGTTATATAAGGGCTTGTTGTGTATTCTGGTGGTTAAAAAAGGTTATCGGATGAAGGTTCGTGATGTGGCTGAGTGAACCTGAGGAAGGCGCGGCCTTGGTGATGTGTGTGGTGGCTGCCCTGGCAACCATTGCGGTTTATTCACCTCAGCCATAAGCTCCACAGTCTCGCGGCGAAGTCTTCAAAAGCTAGACGAAAAGCACGTGAACAAGTTATATACCACAGTAAACCTCCGTGAGTACCTCTACCTCGACATCCCTGCATAACCTCTTGTTGCAGTCAAGAACCACGATGACTTGCCAGCTATTGGCGAGTTCGCCTTTCTGACCAAAGGTGTTGACAACCGTGTTATCTCCCTGGGCATACTTCATGGATTCTAAGTAATGCTACATGCGCAGAGATGCTAACTTACCAATGTCCATAATGACGCATTGATGATGGTGAGACAGCGGTCACTTCCCGAGGAGCCTTATATGATGTCAGAGGGGGCAAAGGGCAATTCAATTGCGACGTTTGAATGAAATGCGGACCATTTAATCCTACGTGCTCTTGTATTAACTGCTAGTATCGGACTCACAGAAGGCACGGCCTCCAGTATTGTTCGAATGGATGATAATACTTACTCCGTGTTGAAAGTAGTAGGACCAGCTGCATCGCACGATCCAAGTTTCGTGACAAAGTACCAGTGAATAAAGTTTACATGCATGGTATTACGGTATAATTGTTCTGCTGTTCCTTTTGATCCATCAACGGTACGTCCGATCAGTGTCTTGCTATGGACTCCTCTGAAGTATTGACCACTGCTGTCACTTCGGCAGTCGTAGTCTTCCCGGTAGCGTCAATAGGAGCATCAACATAGCTACCGTCGTGGCTGCTACCGCTTTCGAGCTGCGCATGCTTTCCTTTTCTGTAAATCCATGTTAGAGTATTCATTAAGTCTCTTGAAGTTGTGTGGCAAAACTTACTCTTTCCGCTTGATATAAACATCGAGAACGTGCGTCGCAGCAATGAGCGCAACAGCACACCCCAGACAGAAAGAGAAGCCCTTAGGATAGCTTGGAGACTCGACCGTCGGGAATGTCAACAAAGGTGTCCAGGCTGTCGATGACTGGGCAATGATGGTGATCATGACGAGGGTGAATGAACGCTGTTCCGGAGAGTCTCTGAGGATGGTGTTTACCCAGCCATGCAGGACACTAGAGAGTGCGTTGGACCAGTACATCGTTGAGAAGGCGAACCACTTGGCACCCTCAGGTACGTCCCAGATGACGAGCATGATCAAGCCCGTAACGTTCCATAACGAGGAAAAGGTAATGGCCCATGCGGGGCCAAGTACCAAGTCAGACAGGAAGCACGCCACAATATTGTACAGGATTCCCAAAGCTGGCGCAATGGTTCCCATCTCATTGACTTGCGCCGGACTGTAGCGACCCAAGCTTTTAATCCAAAGCAGGAAGCTTCCCGTGCTCTTATGAATACCGGCGTTCCAGAATAGTACATCGACGAGCACGACGGTCCAGAACTGCGGGCTGAGGAAGATCTGCTTGAGGTGTCCGAGCTTGAACTTGCCGCGGGTGACGTGTCCGCCGCGTTCCAGGCGAGATTTGGCAATCTTGATGTCGCGGTCATTAAGGATCCAGCGGTTCGGTTGCTCCACGGTGCCCGGAAGGAGGAAGTATCCGAGAATGCCGACTGGGATAGTGATGATTGCGCAAATGATGTACATCCAGCGCCAGCCTGCCATTCCGTTGACGCCTTCGAGGCGGTGCGATGCCCCAGCTGCGATCAGGCCTGCTGTCAAGGTTCCGAGGTTCAGCCCGGTGTAGAAGATGCCGCCTCGTCGTGCGATTTCATGTCCGCGATACCAGGAGCCTGTATTGAAGTCAGCATTCAACTTTCCCTCGTCAAAAGAGGATGGTGATAATTCCTACCGAAGACGTAGTGCATGGCGGGGAAAAAGGCTGCCTCGAAAAAGCCAACCATGAATCGGTACGCCGCCAGCTCTCCGAAAGAGTGTGCTCGGTATTGCAGCAGGGTGAATAGTCCCCAAAGGATATCCATAGCGGGGATGGTCCAGTACATGGGGATGTAGGTGAATAAGAACATGAAGGGCACCATGCCAACAACTGCGCCAACTGTGTACATTGTCTGGAGTTCGACGAGTTCATTGCCTTTGAAACCGAGCTCCTCTTTCATTCCTCCGACGTAGGCATTGTCTGTTTCTGATTAGCATGACGTTGCCAAATAGAGGAGGCAGAGTTTATCAACGGTCGTGAACATACTCAAATTTGCTTGGTCTGTGGGTACGTGTTAGCTGACTGGCGATTAATGGATGGAGGGGATACAATCATACCAATGTACTTGACCCAGTACGCCAGAACTGCGTAGGGAACGACGATGAGGTCGAGTTTGATGATGAACTTGCGCTCCTCGGGAGTGTCGTCGTCCGAGTACCACTGGATCTTCCACCACTTCTTCCTGGGGACGGTATTGTCTGCGGTTGCCATTGTTGACAGACTCCTATGAGCACACTTTCGTGTCAAGGTGTCTTCGAAATGACTCTCAGGGTGGAAGGAATCAAGTTCAGAGCTGGAAACTCTATTCCAAAGTCACCCAAGTCCCCGGGTCTGGTCGATAGATATTAGCAGATTCTTGCCGGCCGCGGACCCTCCGCCGGGCAAAATCCAACCTCACTATCGATTGCGCCAGAGCATCTCGGACTTGTGCCATGCGAACCGCCCATCAACAAAACCTGGATTTGTGGGAAGAATCCCGCCCGCCGAGCATTCCCGGAAGTCGGGGAGCATCCGACATCGCCAAAATGAACCCTTTTGCTGGGGAACTTTGTGCTTGGAGTTGTTGCATATGAAAAGACCCTGCCGGGAGTTGGCCGACATCCTTAGTATAGCGGGGGGGTCTACCCAAAGAATGGGATGCGCGTGGGGCGCGTGGCTGGCAGGAGGGTGTGGTGTGTCTAGACTCGATAAACTTAGCTCGAGTCGGCCTAACATCGTATGGATTATTGAGTGTGCCGATGTCAACTTACTCTAGAGTGGAAAATGACGCCGGAAGCTGGACCTTTCGAAGGATTCTAAGTGGCAATTGCGGAGTATCCGCTGCAGTTATCCCTTGTCTGTGTCGTGGACCGGCAGGCCGACAATGACGTGCTTAATGGTCTTGATGGTGTTAGATGTGAGAGCCCGCGTAATCAAGTCCTTGGCCTTACCTTACCTTATGATAGCAACCCACGCCCTGCGCGCCAAGTACAACTATCTCAGTCATCTTCTCTTTCTGAATTAGTTACATCTTTCCGCGAAAGAAGATGCCTTTCTGGAAAGCAAGTTCAGGAAATGCCTCCAATGCCTTGTGAGAATAGCATACTTTACATATGGGAGGGCATCATCTGATTTTGATAGCCAACGGCGGTCCTCTGTCAAGACTATTCGATGATGTTAGATAAGTAAGCTTGGATTTGGGGCAGATGCACAACCGAAAACCAAAGTCGGAGCAATTCACCGGCGATGAAGTGGAGATCTCGGCCGAGTTTACATCCCCGCTCCACTGGTAGGGGCCGGTTTGATTGAAGTTAACTTCGGAAGCGGTTGTAGAAATGAATTAAGCTGTAAGTCTATTGCGATACATGTAGAACACGTGCGTCTAAGCCTGACGTTTGGCCTCAACCTCCAGCTCAATCAACATTCCCGAAAGGGCCAAGTGAGGCACAGCAATGGCTGTCCAGATAGGTCGATGATCGGGAATCCGTGCTTTCAAACCCTGGACGATGAAATCGAAAGAGGCCCGGATATCGCATGAATATGACCTCAGTGAGTAGACGTCTTCCCATCCCCGGAGGCCCGCTGCCTTGAGGACAATGTCGACGTTCTCGATCGCTAGCTCAACCTGTCTTTTGGTGTCGTTCGCGTCGAGCGCTCCCGTCTCCGGATCCCAGCCACCTTGTCCAGCGCACTTGACGGTGCCGTTGCCGAGATCCACAGACTGCGAGTAGTGGCAGGCCTCACCATAAATCTTGCCGGCGCCAGGAGGGGTGTTGAACTTGATTGAAGACATGGTTCTAGTTGTGTTGTGTGGTAGGGATCCTGTAAGAAACACAATCAGTATCTAGCTCCCGGAAAGCCAGTCCAAGAAGAAATCGAACTAATGAAAATTATGTGTAATAGAATGTCACAGAGACTTACATACGCCCAGGAATTACACTGAAGGTTTTGCTCCTACTGTGACTAAGAACAGCGATGTGGGTCTCGGGGATCGAATCTGTCGGATTCTTGGTACGTTTTCAGGTGATGTGTACTTAGGTAGTATGCGGAAAAACAAGTGTCTTTCTATGCTGAGGAGTATTAGACGTTGTCAAATATCTTTTCAACGATGCAGCGTCGTCATTTATGTAGGCCCATTGCTGAAGCCCCAACCTCGTCCTCATTCATCGGACGTTTGGAGAAGGGGTCACCGTCTTGGAGAAGTCACCGACAAAAGTGGATCGGGGCTCCGTTTCCAGCAGTGTTTGTGGGAAGTCCGCGTACCATCAAGGTGTGCTATTGCAACCTGACATCAACTATACCTTGGCGATTGTTGCTCTTTGACGGAATGAATGGGTCGTTTTTGTGTCAAAGCCCGGTCGAAGATTCATTTTCCAGATGGAAAGTATGATTTGGGTCAATGTGGAGTTGCTGGAGACTCGCTCTGAAACTCAGCCAAGATGTCAAGAGTTTTCCCCAAACGTGTTGCAAATGCCTTTGTCTCGATCCCCTGCAAGACACTCCCCCAGAATTTCAAAGTCGACCACGACAATGTTTCTGCGTCGGGGTCAATTGGCAATTCTTCGACATCTGGCAAAGATGATGTGGCCATGCCGAGTAATTTGACTGCACGTTGATATGCTTCATCTTAACGATTGATCAGTACAAAGGGCTACGCAAGACCAAGTGATGCTCTAATAACCGAGGTAGACCTCACCTTCTTTCACAGAAGATGCAACAGCAGTATACTTTTGAATCCATTTGCTGAGAAAGATAGCGGATTCGAATGCCCACAAAACGGTCTCCAGTCCCCATGAGCTTGCCTGTTGACGGACGTAGTGCAGAAGACCGGTACTTGCAGGCTCTTCCAGCAACTCAAGGCAGTGCTCAATACATTGTAGTAAAGAGCGAGAAAATTGTTCCTCAAATTTTGGTTTAATCGCCTTGAGTGATGCCACGAGTTGTGATGGATCTGTCGCATAGTTCAGATCCAATGGGCAAACAGCTCGAAGATGGACGAGACAAGCGAAACTGTAGTTGCTTTGTGCTTTGCACACAGTTGGAGAAGCTGTCATCGAAGACATTTGAAGTCGCAAAAGACGGACAATTTTACTCAACGTCAGTCTGCGAGGTTGTGTGAGTTAGAAACTTATACAGTCAGTCCAGTCTCTGATGCATTCTACTCACAGTAGTCGAGTACGCTCTAAGGCGAGGATCTCCGATGATATCCCAAGCATGGATGCGTCTTTGTCCATTCTTATGCGCAATATAATGAAAGATAGCAAAACGAAATGGACGTCGGGAGGAAATTTGCTCAGTATCGACTCAGAATCTGGAATGCAATTGCCAAGTTCGTTGTCATGTTCATGGGCCAAGACGTCAAAAAGAGCAATTATATCGCCCGTATTAAAGAGCTCTCGCGATTGCTCTCCTCCTTCGCCCACAGAGTCATGAGAGAGTAGTGAGCTCAACGGGCACTTGAATGTGCTTTTCAAGTCATCTGACTGTGTTGCCACAGAGAATCCTAACAAGAAGCCGTCTAGGACAAGACTACAGAGCACAATAATACGACTGCATTGAAAAGCTCGAGTTGAATTCGGATCAGACTTAACAGGCCGCTGGTCTGTCGGGAAATGGAATCTCCAGAGCCTAGAGTAAAAGGAGATTGCAGTAGCACAAATCTCAAATTCTCGAACAACATCAACGGGCTGTGCCACTTTAAGAAACTCAGCGAGGAAGTGGTAGGCGATGAGGGCGTCAGAGGGAGTCAGAGATCTGCCAGTCGTTAAGATACGCCGCTAGCAGCCTCTGTAGGATGGGTTGAATCGCTAGACTTACTGTGAAGGCTTCTCTCTCGAATTGTCCATATCTGAGGTCCATCTTTGAAAAGCGAGGTGTCTGCTCGTTGTGAAAAGGGACATAGCATTTCTAACTTCGTACAGATGTATTGCTCCCAACGCGTACAACGCGAACTTAGTGACTGGATCGAGCTCGTATATCTGGACGTTATTATGAAAAAGCGGGACTCTGCTGTTCTTGACATAAGATGTGAGGTATCGAGCGCACGCCCGCGCTGATGGTGGTACGAGATCCGGGCATTTCTGTTCATAATTGGACCATGATCCTTGAATTTGGTCTGTTCCTTGTCTCATTGAGCCTTCTTTGACCACAGCATGTTTATAGTTATAGTAGAGCGTATATGCACTCCAAGATCAACCCAAACTTGAAACAGGTGACTTACCAGTCATAGGGGTTTGCGTTTTCCGCCTGGCTGTATCTTGAGTTGGTAGAGACAAGCAGTGATCTGATGCATTGCTCAGCGTTTCTTCCATGAGTGAGTTCCTCGTGTCGTTGAGGCCGTGTCTTTGTGTCCGGCTCAAATCATCTGCTATCTGTTGCAGTCCACTAGTGCGAAAGAAATTTTCAAAGTCGGCTAGGACATGCTTTTCCGGTTGCGATCGCAGATATGAGCACTCTGGAGAGAAAGTATTTAGCTTCATGAACAAATGCATGGCGTTGTACTTATCTAATTACCTAGATCCGCGTATTCAGGAGGCAGGGGCAAGGTTGTTTCGGGGGTCGAGATAGGCTCCTGAGCAAACTGGTGTGCCGTGGGACTCACCCGCCGCTGTTCCAGAATTCCACATGAAGATGAGCGAAGAGTTCGCTCTACCTCTATGCTGAACTGTGGAGCCCGATCCTGCGAGTTGCGATCCTTTCGAGTAGGACGCACGCGGTCATGCGAGCCATAGGCGTTGATGTTCCCATAAGAAGTGGCATGTTGTCGCTGGTCACATGGGGAAATACGCCTATGCCGCTGGAGTAAATCCTGTCTGGAAAACGAAAGACCACACTCGCAGTTGTACGGCTTTTCATTCGTGTCTTGAAAACTCTCTCAATATTAGCACCGGGCTCCTTCGGTGGCTGAGAACCAAGCTACAAGGCAATTTACATTGACCAAGGCTCGATAACCGAGTAATTAGCGGATAGACTTACGTATGCGTCTATGCCGCTGCAGATGCTCGTGCTTTCGAAAACATCTGTTGCAGAAAGAGCAGACGTACTGTCCTGCAATTGCCTCCGTCATTGAGCTGGGAGCATGGAATTGAATTCTCGGGGACGTCGGTGTCTTCTCCAAAATCCTCAAAGATTATCGAGATGTACGGAGAATGGATTAGCTTCTAGCTTGGGTTGTGCCTGAGTCATTCGCTACCGGAATGACATCAAGCGGCACGTGAAAGCGTAATTTCTCCAACATCTCGGGCTTTGTCACCTCGGGCTTTGGAGACTGGTGGACCTAAAGCCAAAAGCACCATCGTCTTGCCTGGGCAGCGATCTCACAACATTGTGCAAAGGCATCGAAGTTGCTACTCGGAGCAATTTAGCGACGGAGCGACATCTCGATGGCAACATAAGACTCCGATAGAATATCCTCTACGATGCCAATGCCCCCTGTAAAGTCGGCCTGCACGGCTTGGTTAGCACCAAAGTATCGTACATGGACGGTGGACAACCTCTAACCCGCTTGTCAATAGCAGAGCGTCTCGTGTCCGATGTAATGGCGAGAACCCATGTAACCGAGTAAGCGATTCCGTACCAACAACGAATGTACAAACACCGCGAATCTATACTTATAGCGAGTAGTGTATCAAGAGGGGAGACACATGCACGTTCACCGCTAGCCGACGCGGCTTGAAGTTAAGAGGCAAAGCAACATCCTCGACTTCAGAGCTCTCTGAGCAGATTTCGAAAAGCACAACATCCTACACACAAGAAACAAGTCCAGGTAATGGCTCTATATCTACCATTGGCCAAGAGACATTTGCCGGGCTTCTTCCTCCACTGTTCAATGGAGATTTCGCAGCTTTCGAGTTCGACAACATCTTTCAAGGCGACTCAGACGCCGATCTAGATCGTTTCTTCGTCGACGTCTTTAGCACCCCCTCTTTCCCACGTGTTGGCCTCTGCCAGCCTCCGTCGATTTCGTCCATACCATCTCCTCATTTGAACACGAGCGAGTACCAGTCAACTACAGCCGTGTAAGTGTCTCTTTCCTCGGGATTCTCATACGCCCCTTCGCAAGTTACCTAGGGCAGGCAACTCATTGTGAGACTAGACTCGAAGCTTATTACCGCCTTTTACATCCTGTATTTCCTCTACTTCCACCACCTGTTGAATTCGAGCAACTTCAGTCGGCACCGTCCTCCTCATCCCCTCTCATCCTGGCGTTTCAGGCTCTCTTAATGCATGTACATCAGGATGGCGCAGGTTGTGATCTCAACGATGAGCGTCTTGGAGACCGAAGTACCGTGTCATCTTCAACCGCTCAACATGCGCTTGAGACTATTGAGACTACTGCACCGGGTGTTATACAACCGATGCGGGCTTCGAGCTTTCACCCAAACGTCCCCATAGAAGCCGAAGCACCCTTGGCATGTTGCGCGTTGAGTCTTTACCAGTATCTTCATTGTGGAAACTTCCAAAAGATGGCAGCCCTTGCCAATAAAGGGCTCAGTCTCTCAAAGCAAATGTTGGAATACCACGATGCGTCAGCCCCTGGTCAGTTTGCAGAGTCCATACGTAGGACATGGTGGATGAGTGTAAGTCTTGAGAGGTAAACAACTTCGTTTGGCATGCAAAGCTGAGATTGAGCTCGCAAATATCTAGTACATTTGTCGATGCAACGCTTCGATCGTGAGCTGTACGGTAAAGTGAAGGTTCTGCCCAATATCTCTTAGTCAAGTTGTCAAAGCTGACTGACAGTCCTACCAGCCATTCGACGAGGCTATCGATAGGAGCAGCTTCATGATACCGTATCCTTCAAACAGAGGCGAGACAGAGGTAACGTTTAATACCATCATCGTTGACCAAACTCCATGTCGTTTCGTTTCTGGGCCGCCTAATCGTATGATAGGTTTGGATTCAGTACATCCGAGCCGAGGAAGCCCTTGTTGCGGCCACTCTGATGCTTGCGGCATTGCTCAAAGGGTTTAACTCCGAGACAACCGCGTCGTCTTTCAACCGGAACATTGGAACTCTTGACGCCGTTATCACACATCAATTGGAACAACTCAACTTCCGCCAATTTCAGCCGCCGGACGAATCAGGGACAGTGGACAATCCTGAGTTAAAGCTTGCCATTTGCCTCCGAATCACAACTCGAGCCAGATTAATGAGGTATGAATGGTCGTAAGGGACACCCAGTACATCTCATATGACTGACTAATAGTCACAGTGCACGTATCAAGCTACACAGATATCGTGCCTTTATGGACCATCCCCAGATACTGAAGAAATTCGAATCAGTGCCCCCATCGGACTCTTCATTTCATCTAGCACAAGGTATCAATGGCAACAGTAGCATTTCTGAAAAGGCTGCCCTGGTGTTCCCTTTCTCAAGCAATCATTCGCATAAAGTTTGTCTTGATTCTGCTACAGCCATTGCTGCGGGACTGGAAACCCTTGCAGGCCTGGGAACTTACAGTAGGTGGAAACACTGCACTGTCTCTATCTTGCGAACAACTGGTGACACTATTCAGCAACACCGGCGGTGTGTTCGGCTAACTTGGCCGGCTTTACCTTGATGATGATATCACATTTCCAGGCCTCGGCAGACGCAACGGGCTCTTCGTCTTCAACGGGACTCGACGTACAATACCAGTGCAAGACAGAGCTGAAGGTCGCGATCAATGCACTGAACAGATTTTCGAACGCATTCGGTTTCGTAAAGGCACTCAAAGGTATTACACTCTTCACGTATCTCCTCGCGAGAGACTGGATCTCATCCTGAGACATACAACATCAGTGCTAATTCCTAGGAAAGGCCAACTTGTGACTGCCGCAGTAGCTTGCGATCTTTATGACGTCACTTCTAGCAACTAGGATTGAACTTAGGTCTTGGGTTCGTTCGAAGTCGGATGGCATGGGGAATCATCAGGCTTCATTGAGTCCATCTTTCTTCGTAGATTGACCTAATGCTACAACGCTAAGCCCTAACAGCCACGATGTCGGTACTCCAGACACAGGAATGCATGTCACAATGTTCAATTTAATGGATAATTTAATGAAGTCATTCACGGCGATTATGAAGCAGGCAGCAAAAGATGACAGTCGCCCACAGGGCGTTGAGTTCTAGATACACACGCTTTTTTGGAATGTACAAGAATGAAGAATATCTACAAGTAAACAAGCCTATGTTTTGAGTGCCCTTTTCACTAAAATATGGGACACGTATGATCTCTCAACTCGGGAGAAAGGTGCCCGGTCAGATCTCGCGATGTTTGTTGTTCGCGCTTAGGAGCTCTGGATGTCAGAGGTGGCGTACTTGCAGTAAGTAGAGGGACCGCTGGAGATCTCGGTGGGCTCGTTGCCGGGGGTGGTGCCCTTGAACTCAGTGCAGACCTCCTTGACGCTCTTGGCGACGATGTTGGTGAAGGTGGCAGTGTCACCGTAGTTGGAGTTGATACCTGTGAGCGAAATATATTAGCATTGGTTCAAAACAGAGAAGTAGATCCAAGTGGGATCAGCTTACCAGCGAGGAGCTTTCCAGAGGAGGCGTTGATGTTGTCAAGGATGACGTGGCGCTCGTACATGGACTTGCAGTTGCCGCAGCTGCGGTACAGCTTGCCGAAGGTCTCGACGGTGAATCCGCTGACGGAGAGGGTACCGGCGCCGTTGTGCTGGAGAACCTTGTCGTCGGCCCCGAAGGCGCCGCCAGAGGTGATGGTGGTGGTCTCGCCGGCATCCTGGTTCTTGATGGTGAAGGCGTCCTCGCAAACAGCCGCCCACCAGACGTTGTCGAGAGTGCAGCCACCGTTGCAGTGGACACCCTCGATCTGGTTGGGTCCGATAATGACGTTGGAGAGTTTGGCGCCCTTCTCGAGGATGAAGACGGCGTCAGAGTCGCCGCCCTCGGCCTGGCCAGTGCAAGAGACACCACGGTCGAAAGCCTTCATGCCACCGTCGAAGGAGGCGCCGGCGGCGACAGTCTGGGCGGCCTTGAGGACTGAGGTGCCGGAGGAGGCGGGGAGGCCGGCGGCAGCGGTGCCGTTGCTGGCGCGGATCTCGAACTGGCTGTTGGTGCCGTTGCCGGGGGCGCCGGGGGCGGAGGTGATGATGGAGCCGGGGTGACGGGTCTTGGTGGAGTGTTTAGTCTTCTTGGCCGCTTTGGAGGACTTGGTCTTGGTGGGCTTCTCGGCGCGGGCGGCGTGGTGGAGGAAGTCGAAGTAGCCGCGCTCAGCGTGAGCGATGGCGTTGCCCTGAGCGGCGCCGTTGGCAGCGGGAGCGGCGGTGATGCCGAGCACGAGGGTGCTAAGAGCGATGGCGAAAGAGTACTTCATTGTGAATGTGGTTGTGTGGGTTGTTGGAGTTGGTGTAAGAGAAGGCGAGTTTGAAGATAGAGAGAGAAAAAAGGCTTGTCTACTTGAGAGAATGAAGAAATAGTTCAAGCCTGCTTGAAAGAGTGTAATGAACAAAGAAGTTGGAAAGGTTGATGAGGTGAAAGCAATGGGAAGGAAACAGCTCTTGGCCGGACATCTCGAGGTTACTTATATCGAGTGAGATGTCCGGGGTGGCACGAATTCCTTCTGCCCAGGTCCATATCTAAGTCTACCTTGGAGTTACACTACTACCGAACACCCTCGTGGGACCAGAGGCTCGTCCAGACTACTTCGGTAGTGTATTCGAAGAGACCCAATCCTGCTTCAATGCGTGCCAAGACCATGTGCTCCATCTCCTCCGCAGTGAATACAGCATCAATCAACAGGCGACGCGGAGGAAATGAAAGCGTCGATGCAGGCAGTGAAGATCGCACTAGAGCCACAGAATCCACCAGGTTTCGTAAAGTGGGCTCACGTTGAGCAGAATCCTATGCTGTCAACGGCACCAACGTCGTGCAGGTGGTGTGCGTGTGTGGGCTTATCAAGTTTGGGTGGCATTCCATGTTGATGGAGTTGCCATCGCGAGCCCGTCTCCATTGTAAGAACGGAGCCAACGCCCGAGTTGGGACATGGACTCATCCCAACTTGATTGTCCGCGCGCAGGTCGTTGCCCAAAGAAGGCAGCAAAACCTCGAGTGACAGTCTCTTGTGGCATCGGACGGCTCGACTGGGGACCCCGGGTTCCTGACTAGCCAGGCCCGCCCTTTAATTCGATCTTTCTTGGCCCGGAAGCTTGAACACAGACGAATCCCAGGTCTGGAATAAAGTGATCGTCCAGATGGGTGGACTCGAAGAGCCCCTGACAGCTGCTGCTAAGCCACGCGCCCACACCAACATGAGAGGCTCCTCGCATTCCTTCTCAGGTTCTCAGCCAAAGTTACCACTCAGCTTCACACACGCACGCACCATCACGCCTCTCAAGCAACCACATACGCATCCACACTCGGGATTTCTTGCTGCCCACTTCCCCTGTCAGACATCTGGGGGGGACCAACTCCAACTTCTCAATGTCGAACTTGCCCCTTGCAGAACGTTTCGAAACAGTCGTGCCCAGCGCCAACTTGTCCAAGGGGGTAACAAGTCAGCCAAGCCAACCACCGCGAAGGCGTCTATCTTGACAACTCCACCATCTCCAGTTTTCCAAAGCAGTGCCAAGACTTTCTCAGACGAAAAAACTTCATGATGCCCATATTCCCATATTGCTCTTCCCGTGTCAGGACGTAGAGCTGGCGCGGTCGCGCGGGCGAAAGAGCGAGAAAGGAGATGGGCAAGGGCCTTGGCGGGACAGAATGGTCGATCAATCTACGGAATAATGATGGCGATGACGGTATCCGTACGGATAGAGCAGCATGGAGGCTTCCCCTGCTTTTCGCTCGCCCGCTGATGTCTGGGCATGCTATCACCTCGCAGGCCGGTTGCCAAGCGTTTTTTTTTTCGGCTCTGTCGACGCTTTGCTTGTTCACGTTGCATCAAGCTGGCGCGACGCCGGCCTCTTCGGATCAGACGATAAAGAGACTGAGTTATTGGAGATCCCGTCCGAGATCTGTCTCTGATCGACGGTCGAGCTGGAGATGCATAACAACTTTGTCCTTAGGCTGGCTCCGTATTGAACCGCGGCATTGGTACACCGTATCATGAAAACTCGAGAATCAGTGCGGGACGGAACTATATGTCATCGGATATACGCCAAGGATGGCCTTGCAAAGACACCTGCAGGTCAATACCGGTGATGCAGCCGCATATATTGGCCCCTATTATGGGGGATACGTGATGTGATGGTGAGGCCACAGACCAGCCATCGGGGGGACGGCCCTAGAACCGTGCAGTCTGCAAAGAAGAAAAGAATACCATTCAAACAGAAAAATCTGATACAGCCGTCCCTCACATTTTGGCTGCCCCAGCTGTTGGTACTCACTTGGCTATGGTTTTTTGCCTGCCGATAGACAATCGAAGTATCTCACCCACCCTTCCGGAGTCCAGGCCCTTTGGTGAGCAGAGGGTCATTTACAAGAGACCGGACGTGTCCCGGCCGCTTTGAGCCAGGCGGGGGCCGAGCCAACCTGGCCAGTAAATGCTCATAGTTTGCCTCCCGCGTCTACTGCCCAAGGCCGTATTTTTCTGCCGTGTTTTCTGTTGAGCATACTGCGCAGAAGCTGTGGCTTCCCGCTTGTCGAGGATAAAGATTTTGGGTCGACGTGGTTGCCTCCGCATTGCAACGTCAGCCCCCAAATCGTTCTCGGATGCCCAGCAGAATCGAATTCGTCTGATATGGTGATTCGTGGAATGTCGAATCATCCAAGGAAACGTTGATCACGGAGTGGTCTGGCCTCTGTTAAAGATGTCTTGGACATAGAGCTTTCAATGCCGTCTCGGGATCACCATGTTGCCACGGACCAGGATGGCAGCCCTCGCGTGTGTTAATACTGACTAAGAGAGGCGGGACAAGGTGCGACATCAATTCTGTGCATCAGGCCTCATACGATGATAGGCCTTGCGGAGTGACGGAGGACCTCCGAGACTGCCAAAGCTGAATGATTCAGATCTTGAAAGCCATCACGGTATCTTGACCGTTGAGGGCGATTTGTTTGCGCCTGGAAAATTGCGACCACCCTGCACCTCATGTGCCCCTGATGCCCCATAGGCCACGTCGCACTACCCGCCCGAATGTCGCGCGACGAACAAGAATAGAAGCGGTAAGAAAAGTTCGGTATCGATCTAATGACTAGATGCTTGGCAGTTTTCTTAGCGGCTCCTCGGACGTTGTAGCTCGCCGACTGTGAAGGCGTCACCCGCCGCAAGGTACGGGTTCCCTATTATCTGATCTATTGCAAATGCATCCTGGGTCAACTCTTCAGGACATCTCGAAAACTTTCGTCCTTTCGCAGACGCTAGGTTCAGCAGATTGCGTCCAAAGAACATCTCTGCTATCATGACGTACCTTGGCGCCGAGGCTCGCCGGTTGGAACGAAACATCATAAGGAAATAGGGGCAGAAAATCTTGCGCGTTGCCTGTGCTGCAGTGCTGACGACTGGGTAACTAGGTTTGCCCTGAGTGCCACTTGCTAAATCTCTGTGAGGGCGATTGACTCAAGCTCATTCTTCCCGAAACTCTGTCACTTAACGTGCTAGGAGAACCATTAAGAGCTGCACCTCGGGGCCAAGACTGGTTTGTGCGGGTTGCCGTCTCTCGAAACAAGGAAAACTCAATTCGAGTCTTTCGGAGTGTCGAGCATGTGGCTAGTCGTCAAGATTGGGCGAAACTCAATACCAGAGTCAATGCTCCGTGGACAGCCTGCGCTGCATGGCCGTTTGTAGATCGATCAACTTTCGCGACCGACTGTTTCGAGGGGCCAATTGGAGATATTCCCGACCATCGCGTTAGTTTCTAATTGAGCGACGATCTTTGGAAAACAGATCCTCCGTCATTAAGGACTTGTTTTAACTTTACAGAAAATCGGAGACTGATCAACGGCGACATGCACCAGCCGACAAGTCGCTGCCCAAGTGATGTGGGATGTCAGCACCCGGGCGAGAACGAGATACTCTGTAGTCTCGCACTCGCCCCGGTAGCACTTTCATTTCTTGTTCAGACGTCTTTCGCTTGCGTTACTGATAAGCCACTTGCCGACCGCGGGAGATGAAAAGGAGTGAGCCAAGTCAATTGCGACTTTGCGACTTACGCATCCCCCAATATCCACGTCATCCTCCGACCCCGTCTCGGTCTGACTTGGTTATTACCGCGAACCTTCCTCCGGGCTGCCCGGTCTACCCCGCCGCCGCTCCGTGTTCATTCGCCTTGAATCGGTTTCTCTACCTGACAGGCTGCTACGGATGCCTGCGCCCCAGTTCCGGACAAATTCTGCTCTTCTCCGACTAAGTTTCGGAACTCGTTTGCTGCTTTTAATGCAAAAACAATACCTCTAATTGCGAGCAGCTACCAGCACCAGTAAACAGCTGATGGTGGTATAAGAACCCTGCGAAGCCGCAGTTTTGGTACAATAAGCGCTGCGAGCAAATCAATGACAGTTCAGATTCAGAAAAACAGAAAATATGACATTGCGATTCCGAGGCTTTGAGTGCATGGAACAGGCCAAATCGAGGGACTTGCGCAAGCGCTTCAAGTCATTGCATGCAACTCCAGCGCATAACATAAAGCGGTTGCTTCTACATCCCCCTCGAAAGCAGCCTCAATACAACTCATACTGGTCGTACCCATAGGACCGTTGAGCGTTGTATTAATGCACTCAAATGCAGTTGACTGTTTTGTATTACGACAATTCCGAATCATCGCCTTGCTTGCAAGCGTATGGCAACTCCGTGCTTAATGTCCAGCTTGTAGAATGAGGCCGGCGCGACGGTTGAATAAGAGACAAGTATTGAGGTCTTAAACTTGAAATTTCATTAAACCATGAAAAATATGCAGCAACTCAGTCTTAGCTTACATGCATTCACTGCTCGTGCCGAGAGAGTGAGAGTTCGTTCTGTCCGAGGCTATGCAGCTGATTTACAAGAGTCCATTCGCAGGCAGATCACAGAACCATTCTTTTCTCTTCACCTCCTGTAGAAATAGGCTTCAAGATGTATCCTTCTGTTTTGACAAGTTTCTTCAGTCGGTCAGGATTCTATGTCGTGATGAGATGTAGTCAAACGAAGCCAAGGTCCTCAACACCAAGCCGGCTAAAACGGCCGGTTAGGTCGGCAAACCCGCCATCGCGATGGATCACCAGAACCACCAATGTGGGAGCAATCCCAGCCTAAGCTTAATCAAAAGTTTATCCCCTTTGTCGTCAATCTTATTTTGACTTGAGGATTGCTCGTCTGCGTCTTGGCATACATTGTTGCCCGTCGCCGCGTCTTCGGGAGTGATCTCCGCCCGCTCTCGGAGGATTGGGAAGCGCCACAATATCAGGATCGTTCCCGCAGACCTGTACCTCATCAACGGGCACAGAATGTTTCGGGCGTCCGCCGATTGGCTGTCACACAATTCTAATGGGTGACGTGGGGTTACGGCTTGAGAACCTGTCGCCGAAGACATGCAAAGTCGTGGCAGAGCTACCGGAGGAAAGCAAAATGTCTTCGGATGCAGAGAAACGTAGTAGACTCAAGATGATATTAAAAACACGAAATATTTGCTCCTTTGAATCTAAAAATCTTTCACTACAATCATCCTATCCGACCACATAAAATCAACTCAAGTCATCAAGCCTAATCATCATCGTACAACATGCACTACCTCCAAACAGCACTCGCCATCATGGCAGCGGCGGGCCCGTCTCTTGCAGATAGAGAATTCTCTGTCATCAGGGGCACAGGCGCACCTCACGGCATCAGCACCACAGACTGGAACTCGGCAATGGATCATCCCAACCTGACGACCTCCTACCGCTTCAACGGCCCAGACGTATCCGCTGCCTTTCCGCCAGCCAACGATTCTGCCTGGACGGGTACCCCCTTTGACCTCGGCGTCAACGTCGCTGCGCGTGTTCATACCACCCACAACAATAAGCGACATTTGCAGCAGTTGTCGTATCGGCTCCGAAGTAGAGATGACGATGATGACGACGACGATGACAATAACGACAACAACAGGAACAGGAACGGTAATAGGAATTACTTCACTGGTTCCTCCATCAACCTCAAACAAGTCGATGGACAACAAAAACTCGACGCGGGCTGGAAGCTATGCGTCAACATCTTCATTCCAAGGCTGGATCGGGTGGATAGAAGCGGATCTCAAGATGACAGCGGCGACTGCGGTGCCTTTCTCTCCACCGAGTGCCGCCAGAAGCTCTTGGATACATCATCTGGCCAGTTTGGGTCCTGCGGGGTCGCAGACTTGCCCAGCGAATGCAAGGATTTCCTCGAGGATGCTAACGATGAGCGCTTTGGTTACTGTAAGTTCTCCTCATACTAGGGTCTTCGTACATACAAATAGCAGCTTACATACTTGCTTCAACAGCTCCCAACATTGCCTCTGGATCCCAAATCTTCGCCTACGGATCCCAAGCCTATAACTGGGGCAACAACGACGACAACAACGACAACCGTCGCCGAGGTGGCGAGTATGCCATCGCGAGCCAGATGATTTGGCCCGTGATGTTGACCTGGGGCGGCTCTGGCGATGCTGCGGAGAGTCGGGCTACTCTGCACTGCGTCCGCGCGAAAAATGTCGTCGCGGGGAGCGATGTGCCTCAGACTCTGAGCGAAGATGATGATAACGACAACGACGACGATGACGACGATGATAATGATGACAATGATCGCAACCGAAATGCAGCTGGGATCAAGGGGCCCTTTGCCGGGTGGTCGATGATCTTGGCTGTGCATGTTGCCCTTGCGATGATCTTTTGCTGCTAGAGCAAAGGTAGATTCTGTAGGCTTCGACGGGTTGCTGGCTCTTCTCGCAAGGCAAGATAGGCGATGGATGATTTGGAACCTAGTCAGAACTTTTGTGCCATTATGAACGTGGGGATATTCAAGCGTTGGGGGTATAGGCTGATCAGGATACATCATGTTCTAGAGTAAATGCTATTAACTGTTCTATTATTGGTTTTCATAGACTTTAGAGGAGTATATTTGATCTTTGGAAGAATATCTTCAATTTGTTAAACCTTGCAATTATGCTTAACTCGCCTATTCGAGTGAAGCTGGCCTCTTCATTCTCCTAAGCAAAGTTCGTAAATCCTCCAGTTTGATACCTCGCTCGTGATTTAACGTCTTCTCCAACGGCCAGGAGATCCCCTTGCCCGCACCAAAGATTCCACGGTACTTATTCCAGTTGCTCCCGGGATCATGCGCAAGACTATCCCTGATCGCCTCCATATTCCACACTTCCCTGCTGAACTCAACCTCAGGGAACCGTTCCTCAACCAAGCCCGCCACAGTCCCGTACGAGACAGTGTCCCCAGCAACATACACGACATTTCGACCATTGCTAGGAACCCCACGGGGCTCAAACACCAACTCAGCCGTCATTCTCGCGATATCATCCGGCTGTGTGAGCGTAATCTCAACATCCCAACCCCCCAGTGCCCTCAACTTCTTTTCCTCGAAATCTACAACACCAAAGTCCTTTACAAATAGAAAACTCATGAAAAGACCAGTACTAACGATGATCCATTCAGCACTGCTCCGAGTCCGCAGCGTATCTCTGACCTCAAGCTGCTCGTCGAACAACGACTGCGTGCTGCCTCGTCCGATGATATCATAATCGACGCCAAATTGCCATGGAAAGTACCGCGGAACCTTGGCCAGGAGAGCAGCCTCACAGATGCGTAGCTGTGTTCCGGTGGGGCCAACGAAGCCTGTGCAGCTTATGACAGTCTCATATTTTGCAAAGGTGGAGGCGAGGGATTCGAGTGAGTCGTAGACGACGTCTCTAGGCTCGAGGAAAATGCCGAGGGATTTGATGTGTGCGATGGATTTGGATTTGGACGGGTCAGGTGATGATATGGTGGAGGGGCGGAGCAGGACGGAGATTCTGGAGGAGGGTGGACGGGAGGGGTGGGATGCGAGGGCGTTGAGGATGGCTGTGCCGAGTTCGCCTGATCCGAGGACGAGGATTGACATGTTGGTGAGGAGTATGATATGCGGCTCTGAGAAGGCGGCTGCAATCAAAGCGAAATATGGAAATCAGTATGAATTGGTGTGTTGATGGGATGATCGTAAGCTCCGTATAGGAACTTCTGCGCGCTTCAATACGGATCGAACTTGGGACTCTTGCTAGGTTCTTCAGGCTGTTTGACGTATTAATACCAAAAACTATCGAAAGAAAGTCCCCCAGAAGTAGTATCAGCCCGATTACGTGTGATACATACCTATCTCTCTATATTCACGTGAATCAGGCACTAGTTATTCGTACATGACCTGATGTAATCCTGCGCTGATCCGGAGCAGTGCGGGGTCTTCCACGGAGGCTGCCACGGAGTCCTCCTCCGTCTGAGTAAGCACCGGCGTTACGGTGGCTAAAACCGGTGGCGGATCTCCGCGGCCGGCTCCAGGCCTGGACGGTATGTGGGAATCAACGTGGACAACTAGAGTACTATCTGACATCTATACCATATTAACAGTAGTCACGAGTATATTAGGGTATTTACGAAGAGTAATATGCAATGTCATTATTTTATAGTCAAGGGGGCGTAAAAGTCATTATATCCAGTCCTGTCCAACCTTTATGTACGTTCTCCATTGATCCAACCAGCATGAAGTGCCAACAAAGACACTCCTCCAAACCGTCTGATGCAAAGCATCATGCCCAACTCCGGATATCATCAAACAAAGTTTTATGCAACAAACGCCTCGAGACCCTCCTCATCATCGTCCCTGAATGCCCTCACGGAACCCATGGTCTACTTTCCTCAACAACACTTCGCTGCTGAATCACCAGCTCTTCATACGTATCCGGGAGCCGCGGCCACTGCGGCTGTGACCACTCGTCGCCCGCAGGCACGGCAGGATACCCGCTCTTCAGGGTAAGCACGGCGTCCACTGTCTCCTCAACATCATCATCGTCCACCTCAGAGTCAGCCTCGTCGAGCGGCGTGCAGGCCTGGAAAGGCTCCTCGCGCCGTACAGCGTCCACGGCGTCCTTGATGACCTCTTCCCACCAGTCAATCTCATCCCATGACTGCTGCTCCGCTTCGTCATCAGAGGTATCCGGACCATCTAACTCTTGGACCTGAACCTGACCTCGAGTGTCCACCTTTTCCAAACCCTTGAGATCTTGTTCCTCCTCGTCGGTCTCGTCGTCGACTTCTGATATGTCCTGTTGCGTCGGTTCGGGTACCCTCCTCCCAGGTTGCATAGCATGTACTGCCTCGATCGGCAACCCTGTGATGATGGACACAGCCGTCTCGATCCCCCTCTTGACAGCAAGCGCGCCCAGTAGCAGCTTCAACGCGTGCTCCCACCGACCCTGCAACATAAACATCTTGCCCCGGCACCACTCGTACTTTATAAAATTCCTATGATGGCTCGGCCGGCCCCAGTACTCCCTCTGCAGCTGCGAATACGCAATCAGCGCGTTCGTCTTGTCGCCCGCCAGCTCGTATAGGTACGCGAGGTACTTTAGTATATTCCGAATCTGCGCCTCGTCCTGGAAGTCGTTGGACGCCGCCCGCTCGATCTCAAGACACTTGCGGTACTCGTACGCCGCTTCTTCATGAAGCCCCGCACACCGCAGCGTATGCGCGAGGTTCAGCCGCGTCTCCAGCGTCTGCTCAACCACGCGCGCGACGTCGCTCGCCTCACGCCGGCACATGTCGCGCAGGATGACAATCGCCTCGTCCCACCTCCGCAAGGCCTTGAGCGCCGTAACGTGATCCTCCATGTTGCGCAGCGTCACGGTGCTGCAGACCCCGAACCGGGCCCTGTGCTCGTCCAGCACGCGCTGAAAGCGCCGGCAGAGCCCAATGACCTCGTCGTACTTTTTCAGCCGCAGGCTCGTGAGCCGCGCCAGCTTCAGCGTCCACTCGCCGTTGGCGTAGTGTAGTAGGTCGGCGGCTAGGTCCATGTTGCCAATCTCCACGCGGGCCTCCTCGTCCCGCCCGCGCTCGGAGAGGCACATTGCGATGTTATAGTCGATGGCGGCCTTCTCTTCGTGTCCGAAGACAGGTACCTCCTCGTTCCAGTCCCGCGCAATGCGGTACGCGATCTCAGCCTCTTCGTACTTGTCCTGGTTCACAAGCATGCTCGCCAGGTCGCGCTGCGCTTCGATCGTCGTGACGTGGCGTTTGCCCCTCCGCCGCACCAGCGTGGGCACCAGCTCGCGCAGCAGCTTCTCCCCTTCGGCCCAGCGACTCGTGTAGTAGTAGATTTCGCCCAGCTCGACCATGGAGTGTAGGCAAAAGTCACGCCATGAGCCTGTGAAGAGTGTCCAGCGGAACGACCTACCCTTGCTGCTGCTGCCGGAATCAGATGAGCGCCCTTCGCGGCTCTGGCGCAGCAGGCGCTCGGCGAGGTGAGCCAGCTCTTCGGCCTCGGCAATGTCGCCCAGATCCTCGCGTCGCACGAGCGTGTCGCCGAGAAGAAGGACGGCGCGCATGAGGTAGAAAATCTGGTCCTCACTCGTCGGGAGACCCTCGAGGAGGAGTTTCGCCATGCGGAGGTGGTGCTGGGCCGAGATCCAGTCTTCGGGGGTTTGGTTGCGATAGGCGTGGCCAACGCTCAGCAGGGCGAGCCCCTCGGTCAGCGTCCCCAAGCCCTGAGACTGGCGGAGGGCGAAGGTGCCGAGGCGCAGGGCCATGCGCCATTTACCACGGAGCTTGAGGAGCTCTGAGATGCCGAGGAGGGTGAGGATGGAGGCTTTGTCGGAGGTGCGGCTCACCGCCCCCCATCGCGGGGCCTTGTTCGGGCGCATGGCGGATGGTTTTCTTGGGGGTTTCGGGCTGGCTCACGGCGTCGTGGGGTTTCGCTGTTAGGGGGGATGTCGCCCCCTCGAAAGGACCTGACTGTGTGTTTTGCTCTCGGTCGCCGTTGTCGGGGGCGTCGTAGATGTCGTCGGGACAGTAAGTCTATAGATTTGAAGTTGAGTAGGTATCGCAAAAGTGAAGCAAACCAGTAGGAGAAGTGAGGAATGCGGCCGTTGGGGTGAGAGGCGCGCGACGTGAGATGAGAGTGAGTCAAATTTTGATGAGCGCCGTGAACGTGTGCAGTGAGCTGAGCTGAGCGAGCGAGCCAGACCAGTGGCTGTCCTTCCTGAGAAGCCAAGTCTGGCCAATTCCCGAGCCCTTCCTTTTTCCCACTGCACGTCGCGTTGGAGAAAGATCAAAGTGAGAGAAAAGAGTAGAGGTGAGTGAGAAAGTGAAATTGAGTGTGGTTCGAGTAAGCCACGCAGAAGACCCCTCCCTCCTTGTGGCCACCACACCTGCAGCTACCTTGGGAACGGTTTGCCGGTTGAAGCTTGTGCTGGTTCCTGATTCTAGATGGAGAAGGTTGCAAGATCGAAACGAGGCGAAAAGGAAGGGTGTGGTAAGAAAGAAACGGCGAGGCGGCGACAGCTTGAGCTTGGAGTAAAGTTACGCTTACTCACTGCAGCCCGGAACCCAAACAAGTTGAGGTAAGGTGATCGATCTCCCTTGTGGCCCTTTTTCGCCTTCGACTACATGCACACTACCTAAGGTGCCCCGGTGCTTAGGCTTCAGAGGTTGCCAGTGGTCGCGAACCATGGGGCACAAGTCACAGAGCAAGTTGGAGGAACCTAACATGATGAAGGGGGAGGGGGCTGGACCGCGTGCGTGTGGCCATGCGACCACTCAGGGCGAGGCACTTGTCCTGCAGATCCAGGACGTGCCAGTGTGCGTGCTTCAGGACGAAGCCATCTGACGCCCAATCACCAACACGACCCGGCGGTAAGACCGGCAGTCAGAATTTCAGAAAAAGGGACCGAAAGGGATGCTGGAGTGTGGAGATGTCCAGGCCGGCGTCGTATCCGATCGTCGAGCGGAGGGCGGGATGAAGCAAGGTCACCATTCAACCAAGCAATAGCCGAGTCCCGACAAGGAAGAGAGCTTGACAAAAGTATCAATAAGACTGTCTTATGGCACCGATCAGAGCCTGGATTGGGCGAGACATGGTGGATGGCATGGGACAAAGTTGGGACCAAATATGGGTGGCGGGGGGAAGAGTCGGGAACATAGCTGCAGAGCGACAAACACAGCATAAACAACAGCATGGATCCCATGGAGCCTCCAGGCATACCTACCGCGCCGGACGAGCTGCCTCATAGCACTGGGTGCCAAAAGCATCTGCACTGGACCCCTTGGCCGCAAGGTACAATGTAAGGGGAGAACTACTTGTTGACTGTATTATCTAAGCAGACACAGGCATCCAGGGACATGATAAACGGCGCTATTAGAGACCAAGACGCCCCGAGCCATGCCCCAACAAGAATCGGGTTATGGACTTGTCTCTCCCTGCGGTGATGCTGAGAAACATTTGGGTGCTGTGTTGAGGTAAGGAGAAGTGTATGTAGCTGAAACATCGATTTGTATGTTACTGCATGGTAAACGCATGGCTTCTATTAAGAACTCATCGCAGTTAAATATTGAAGAGAAAAGAAAGCAAAAGGCTTAAAGAATCATTTCTTCTTCAACCATTCGATCTCACCACGCTCCAATAGCCAACTGAGCGACGCATTCCAGAAGGAACGAAACCTGAAACAGGCCGTCAACGGGCCCTGTTGGTGGTGAGACTGTGCGCAAATTCCCGATCAAAACACACCAAGACACGTCCACATTCCGGAGGCGATTCGTTCATCTTTCCTCTTACCCCAGACTTCGGATTCCCTTTCGTGGAGATAAACAAACAGATCCAACTGATAACCCCGTTGTTACTCTTCTTGACATGTTTCTAGGCTCTCCCAAGACTTTGGCTGATTGCAACGGTGACGTTCAAGGCGGCAGCTCAGCCCACCGGCGCCCTACGCTTCGACTGTGGCGCGACCATGAACTTTCAATGCCCGCATGCAGGTATACAGCGCACGTTGACGGTCTATCTATGGGCATCAAGGAAGTTCAATACGTCATTGTCCATCTTGTCTCAGTTCCAGGAAGGATTATCTGCGGTCTTCCCGTGCCCATGTCCGGCCCTCCGCGCCTGCATTTCCGGACTTCGGTCCCCGAGACGCACACTAGGTCGGAGGATTACATCGGACGATTCCATCAGCGGGGATCTCTCCTTGGGGTGCAGGTTACTGAGCCTGACTCAATAAGGAGTCTCCTGTTCTCTGTAGACTGTGCTGACTCAGTCATGTCTCGTCGACTTCGTCACAATTTCCATTCAGCTGCTAAACTCATGCGAGGAATAATGATGTGTGAAGCAGATTCTATGTCTATTAAATATTGCGATTAAATCGGTAGCAATTTGAAATGCGCTGCAAAACGAAGCCCAAAAAGCTTTCAGCGTCAACCCTGCATCTAACCATATTCCTCCAATTCTCTCCGTCTAAACACTGGAAATGTACATTCCGTCCATATTTCTACCACAAAAGAAATCTTGTCCCACCTTACCGAGACTATTCCTTCTTGACCTTCTTGTTCTTAGGCATGCGCACCAGCCAGTACACGACCAAAGCAACAGCAATGTTGAAGATGCAGTACGCCCACATCAACCCAAAGTTCCTCCACCGGTGATCAAAGTCAACGTTGATTCCCTTTAAGAACGTGTTGGTATCCGACATGGCGCAGTACTGGCACTCGGTTGAGTTGCCCGCACCCGGGTTCGAGAGGTAGCCGCCGGCAGCGGAGATGTAGTCGGCCATGTACTGCCCGCACGTCTGCCCACTTGGCGCCGCAAAGGAGACGAACTCGTTGGAGGCGCAGTGCACCGCGGCGTTGGCGAGCGAGGTGCCCAGGAAGCCTTCCACGACGTAAGTGAAGGGGTTGACGCGGTACATGAAGATCCAGAAGCCTGGGAGATCACTTGGCCCAGCGAGAATTCTGGTGAATGAGGCGGTTAGCTATCGGTCTTATGGAGAAGATTGTGAATAGGAGACTAGACTCACCCGCAGAAAGCAAACATCATAATGGCAAAGAGGTTGACGATACCGCCGGCTACCTCGGCGTTGGGCAGGCCTGCAATCATCATATGGGCGAAAGATCCGGTGAAGATGAAGAAAACCCAGACTTGGAGGAACATGGTGATGCCGCGGGAATCGACGGCGTCAGTGGCGTAGGCGTTGCGGTAAAGGCCGATGGGGAAGTACCAGCACACGAAGCAGAAGACGGAAGCGAGCTGCAGTATGGTTAGTAAATTGTTGGCTGGAATCTAAAGTCACACAAGAACTTACTGAGTTCCAGGCCATTTCCACAAGGATGTTGGCGAACATGAAAGCCTTCCACGAGTACGCCTTTGAGGGTCTCTCGCGCGCCTCGTACATGGTTCGCTGCGACACAAAGATGGGAAGAATCTGCTCGACAACCTGGCTGAATACCGTGAGGAAGATGAAGACACCAAACATTTGGTTTTGCAAACCACGCTGCGTGTTTTCAGCGTTGAGGAATGAAAGACCGATGAACAGAGCCTACAGAGGAGGGTTAGTCGGAGTGTTAAGTGTGAAGATCCGAGGGAGTCACTCACAGCACCAAAAGACAGAACACCCTTTGAGTAGATGTACGCAGGGCTTCTCCAGTATTGCTGGAAAACACGCTTCGTGACCTCGATAAACTGTGTACCAAAGCCGGCAGCAAACTCCTTGTGCGTGGATTGACCTTGACCATTGGTCAGGGCAGGTCGCGCAGAACCATCAGAGCACAGTCGGGCCAACTCATCCTGAACAGCCTGGTACTCGGGTGTCTGGCGCCAGACGGCGGGCCAGTCAATGTCGGTGTGGGCACCGGGCGCGGCTCCGATGACCTCAAGCATATATTCTGCGGGATTTGCGCCAGGCGGACATTCCGGCCCACCGTTGCGGACAAAGTAATCGACCAAGGTCTGTGAGTTCTTGCCAATCTCTCCGAAGTAAACCGTACGACCGCCGCGGGCGAGAAGAAGTAATCTGTCGAAGCGCTGGAACAGCATCGCTGAGGGCTGGTGGATGGTACATAAGATAGCCTGGCCGCTCTTTGTGAGCTTCTCCATGAGGTTGCAAATCGACCACGAAGTCTGGCTGTCGAGTCCGGAAGTAGGCTCGTCGAGGAACAAGAGGAGTTGCGGGCGGGCGGCGAGCTCGACGCCAATGGTAAGACGCTTTCTCTGCTCGACGTTGAGGCCTTCGCCGGGTACGCCAATGACGGCATCGGAGTATTCTTCCATGCCGAGGAGGCTGATGACGGTGTCGACATACTCGAGCTTTTCTTTGCGGGAATAGGCGTCTGGTTGGCGGAGAAGGGCGCTGAAGTTGAGAGCTTCGCGGACGGTGGAGGTGTGGAGGTAGAGATCTTGTTGTGTGACATAGCCCGTTTTGCGCTGGAAGGAGTCGTCGCGGGGTTGGCCGTTGACGAGCATGTCGCCGGATATGACGCCCATTGTCACACGGGTAGCGAGGACGTCGAGCAAAGTGGTCTTGCCAGCACCAGAAACGCCCTGTCGGTGATGTTAGTCGTTGTCTCGTTGAGAATCTCAAGTATCTGCCATTGCAGAAGACTTACCATGAGTGCAGTCAGAGTTCCAGGCTTGACCCAACCGTCAACGTGGTCCAGAATCCGCCGAGGCTCGCCCTTGATCTTGATATCATAGCAGACATCCTTCCAGTGGAAGACGGAAGTCTGCTTCTCCATGCCCGCAACGCCCTCAGAGTCATCCTCGCTTCTCTGCTGCGCACCGGCAGCCGGGGCACCGGTCTCGACATCGACGGCACCTTGCTTGCGGCGCTTGCTCATAGCCTTACGGCTGAACACTAAGACCTCGCCCTTGGAGCGCTCGGAAGCAATGTACTCGGTAGCGAAGAGATGCAGACCCATGAAGAGAATCATGTAAGCAATCATGACCCCAAAGTTTCTCCACCGGTGGGAGTTTTCGAAGCTGTACGAGGTGCTGAGATAGGTCGTGCCGCTGACCATGTCCTGGCCTGGGACAGAGCCCGCAGTGGAACAGACGCGTTCGTTGGCAGCGACGGAGTCATAGCCGGGGCCCATGGGTACGAAGTTTGAGCAGCGGAAGTCGCGGCCAACGAACTCATTGAGCATTACGCTCTCGAGACCGTAGTAGACAGGGTTCAGCCACCTGACCCAACCCAGCCAATCTTGCATGTACTGAGGCGGGATAGCGAAACCAGTGTACAGAGCGATGAGGAGCAGGATGATTGACGCTGGTGCCAGAGCCTGGGCAACCGATTTTGTGACGGAGCCGATGAGACGGAACATCATCGACATGGTCAGGGTCATCGAGAAGGAGATGAGCAGGAAGAAGAAGAAGGCGCCCGGCTCGCGGCGGAGATTGCCCATGAAGTACAAGATGGTATTCATCAGGACGGCATTGACAATCTTGTAGGGCAAGTCGACAATCATAGCTGAGAGCGCCTCCGCACTGGGGTGGTATAAGGCATATCGGGCGTGTTTCTCGACAATCTTGCGCTTGGCGTACAACGTCATGATTTCCAAGATGCTGCCAAAGGCATTGATGATGACCGTGAAGAAGAGCAGGATACCGCGACGGAAGAAGCTAGACGTATTGGTAGGCAGATTGTAGAACAGACTGCTAATGATCAAGGCCTCAAAGATGTTGGTGATTAGCATCGTGAGTGTGATGCTGGGGTCGCCCTTGAGCATCACCCAGCTCCGCCACAGCGTGAGGCGCATCTGCTCCATGTACGAAAGCGTGAACGGCGAGTTCTGGCGCTGGGACTTGGACTGGTCGATGCGGCGGGACGCGAGGAACTTTTGGTAGTGCTCGCCGCCAAAGGGGTGGCGCTGGAGGTAGTCTTCGACGTCCTCGAGGAGGCGGGCGCGCTGCTGGCTGGCCTTCCAGGCGCGGGCGAAGTCGTCGGGGCTGCGCGGCGTCTTGCCCTCCCAGCCGGGGCGGATGACGCGCTCTTGGTGGCTCGTCATGGAGGTGAGGAAGTCGGCTGTTGTTTGTTGCTCTGGGCAGATGAAGCCTAGGCCCTCGAAGTAGGCTTGGGCTTCGGTAGTTTTGCCAAAGTAGATTTGACGGCCTTCGAAGAGGACGACGACTTTGTCAAAGACCTTGTTATTTGTTAGTTGGGTTGCTTAGTATAACAAAACCAGGCTCAATGACTTACATCATAGGCATCCTGGGAAGCCTGGTAGATGGCAACGCACGATGTGCAGCCCATGGTATCCGCTTGGGTTCTCAAAGTGCGGCAAAACTCGAGAGCGTTGGCACTGTCGAGACCTCTCGTGCTGTTATCCCAGCACTGCAGCGGCGAGTAACTCAAAGCTGCCTCCGCGATGGTGACACGCTTACGTTCACCACCTGACACACCACGAACGAAGTCGTCGCCCACACGAGTGTTCTTCGTGTGCGAGATACCAAACATGGCCATCGTCACATCGCGGAGATGCTCGGCGTACTCGCGTCTGGTAATGCCCTCTGGAATGTTCTTGGGACATCTGGCACGAGCTGCAAAGTACAAGGTGTCTCCAACTGTCAGGTGGGCGAAATGCTCGTCAACCTCAGCGGTGTAAATTGCCTCGCCTCTGAAGGCGGTGCGCATGTCCTTGGGCTGGATGCCCTGGTAGTTGATGGTCGCGTCGTCACTAATGTAGAATCCATGCGTGTCACCGGCGATCGTCTTCAGCAGGGTCGAGCAGCCGGATCCGGGCGGGCCAAGAACGGCAAGCATCTCGCCGCTGTGGACGACACCCTCGAGGTCATGAAGGATATCGATTCGTTGCTCCTTTGCACCTGTGAGCTTCTTCACCAAGCTCGCCGCCTCGAGGAAGACGTTGCCGACGCTCTTCTGGTAATCGGTGGATGTGCCATAGCCAAAGACGTTGAGGTTCTTGAAGGCGATGCCCGTGGTCTTTGGTGGATTTCCCTCCGAAGTGTCGGTTCGGATGTTGTAGAACGCCTTTGCCCACTTTCTCGCGTTGAAGTCTGGACTGCTGGGGTTCAAGGGGCCTTCGGCGGGGACTGGGAAGAGAGAACCAGGGGCGGCGTTGGACTGCGTCGTGTATCTGCGAGCGAGTTGCAGAACCTCGTCGTTCATTCGCGTTTCCTGATCTGCAGCATCTTCATGCTTTGTCCATTCTTTCTCGGTGGTCGTGCCAGCTGAATAAGACCCAGAGCTCGGCGGGAGAACCTTCTTCTCGTTTGTCGATGGAGGTGGCAGAGTACCACTATCCGTGTCGCTGTCAGACCGCATTGTCGCTTGGACGGTCACTTAGACCAGACGACTAGAATAACCCAAAAGGAGTCAAGTGCGAAGCAGTGATAATTAGTGTAAGTGGAAGATATTAGGAAGATGGAATCTAAGTTATGGGATGAGTTGACTGAAACTGAAGTTGGAAATTATCATGCCATCTCAACTTCGAGACATCATATATATCTATGCATCCCCGAGCGTCAAAACATCTGAAAGCCCCATATTGCCAAGTTGCAAAAATCTCATCAGCACTCATACTTGCGTTAGTTGCTGACGTTCGCTGTTGAATGGTTGTACCGGACTGGCGGATATTCGTTGGACGAGAGTCCGAATGTCCGCGATTAGGGGTTTTTTTCAGCCCTATGGCGCTCGATTAGGAATTTAGGACATAGATTCGGACTTTGCCAAGACTTTATGGGGGTCGTCAAGCCTCGATCCGTCTTTGTAATCTGATCTACTAGCCACGTCCTCCCCCAAGCTTAAGAAGCTTAAAACAAAGGAACTTGCCGCGCACTAAGGCGCATGAACCGAGCCCAGCTGGAACCAGCTGGGAAGAACCTTTGATTGAAATGATTACGAAGAAAAGCATGCCGGAAGAATTGTTGCTGATGCTCCAGACTGAGTATCCGGCGACCTCGGGCCCCCTCAGACCGTGGCCCGCGGCCTCCGCGACGCAGCTTTGTTAGGTTTGCGCTGCGCTGCGTCACGCTGGGCACCTAGCAAACCCCTTGCCAAGCAAACCAGATAGCACATAATTAGACTTTGTGAGCTAAAATCAATTCTCGACCCCCGAAGAATCGAGATCATGATGCATCACAACGGCTCGGGTGGGATCCTCGCGGGCCTGGCATGGTGTATTTGTCCTTCAAAGTCCCCCCCTCTCTCTTTGTGGCACATCTCGCTGCACCACAAAACACATCGAATTCTCCGCTCTCCGAGATCCCTTCGACGACTTAGGTAATCATGCCTGACCAGTCCGCCCAGTTGAATCCGCTTTCGGTGAGTACAGCGGAGGTTGCTATAGCTCCATAGTCCGCTCCCTGGTTCCTGATCCTCCAGACTTGGCTCTCCGGGCAATGGGTCTCTTTCTCCTATCGTGGTCTCATGGCTGACTTGGTTGCCAATTTCCGCTTGGGTAGTGCAAACGATGCAAACACAGAAAGGTCAGTCATCGCCGTGTTCCTTCGGATCATATTAGATGTGGTTGACTGACACTTCTCTTCGCGACATCAGGTCCGGTGTAGTCGTGGCATGCCAACATGCGAAAGATGCAAAACCCACGAGACAGAGTGCGTCTATCCTCAAAGAGTCAAGAGAAAGGTCACTCGGACCTTGACGGACCGTCTGTCGTAAGTTCCGCCCCTACTCCCCTCCCAATCCTTCTTTGCCCCCCTCCACCAATGAATCTTCACGAGATCCTCGTAAAAGAACCGTTGGCTCAAGACATAGCCTTGGCGATTCCAGCACGACGGATGACGCCCTGTCGACCATACTCGAAAGGTTACAGCGCGTCGAGAAGCACTGCACAACCATCCCGAATGGAAACCAAGATCCGGAATCCCGAGACGGGCCCCCTGCTTCCGTGGCTACTGATCCGCCCGCTGCCGCCCCGCCGCCCCGACAACGCACTTCAAGCTCCAACAGCGCCCCATCCAACTTGTCGTCTCCCGCTCCATCCAGTGTTGCCGGTGGGCAGGCAACTTCACCGTGGACGTCATTCGCCACGCCGAGTGCGATTCCTGAACTCGATGTCGCGGCCATTCTTAAGGATGCCGTCGATCAAGTGCAACGACTGAGATTGCAGACTGTGTCTGCTGCCGTCGTCACTCAGGACGTCAGGGTCCCTCCTGAGTTGGCTAAGCAATGGATCAAGAGTAAGTCACGATCTCTCACTAAACGCCTCAAGAAGAAAGAATTCTTCGAGAAACTCTATCGCGTTTCGTCTAACGTCTCTGCTAGACTATTTCACGCACATGCATACGGACATGTTCCTCAGTCTCGTGAACCCAAGACTCATAGAGATGATCCCGGATCTCCTTGGACTACCGCATGTCCACCTAGATCCGGCTATTTTGGTCGTGTACTATGGAGTTCTGTACCACGGCTGTGCTCTAGGCTCGACCGTACAGGCAAATGAGGAAGGACAAAAGTACATCCGGATGCTCTACGTATGCTGTCTTCGAACTCTACCACTTTGGCAACGCGAGGCAACAGGGTCTACGACCGACCTCATCGCCGCTCTCACCATGGTCAGTAGCGCTCCCTCACCCCCATCTAGCAAGCCCATCCTAGACTAACCACAATCGCTGGACAACAGTGCCGCACGGCAGCTGAGTGTTTTGACGAAGAATTGGCTTGGAAGATGTACATCTACGCCTGCGAGTACGCACAAGCACTCAACCTGCACAACCTCGACGCCTACACCACGGCGATTGGCCAGGACGAGAGTAAACTCGATGCCGATCGCAAGGGTTTCTGGGAATTGATCCAGATTGACTTCTTCTTCAGGTTACTGTTCAATCGCCCGCCGGCCATCACGGACAGCATGAATACGTGGAAGGTCAACCTGCCATGGCTATCATCTGGTAGCGCGCCGCCGGACCTCAATGCTGTCCCGACGGTGACGTTCCTCATGGGGTCAAGGCTTACATTCATTCTGTCGCACTTTTTTCAGGACCTTGAGTCTCCAGATTGCGACGAAGCCACCATTCGGCCGAAAGCTGAGGAGTACTGTCGAGAGATTGGCCAGCTCTTTGATGAGTATCAGATTGTAAGCGCGATCTCCCCACTTTGGTCTTGCTGAGGACTTGCTGACGCCTGAAGCAGGAAGACTGGATTCAACGAAGTGTAGCAACGGCCGCAAAAGCCGACTGCTGGTTGCTGGGCGATGTAGCCATGACCGGGTATACCTACATCATCTTCATCCTGCGCAAACTCGCCGTCCTCAGCTCTAACTCTCCGCGCCCCGTGTCTTGCGACGCGGACATTCCAGACTCCCCGCTAGCCGTTGAGGCCTCGCGGGGCATGCTAAGGATCGTGCGGGCTATCCTGGTGCACAATCCCTATCCTGAGACCATGTGTGTACTGCTGGGCATTTACCGCGCCTACGTCTCGTACGCTTGCCTCTTGAACCACATTCTTCGAGCCGTTGATGTAAGGAGTCACTACGACGATATTGAGCTGCTGGAGGAGGTCGGGGAAGTGATGCTCAAGGGGTCTAGGGACGATCGGGACTTTATACCGTTATTGAGGGCTATACAGAGTCTCGGCATGGAGGTCAAGAGGCGGCTGAATGACGTTGCGGCTACGGGGTCTGTCGCGACTGCTTTGACTCCGGCGATGAGTTTAGGGATTGGAGCTGGATTTTGACATGTGACTACACACGTGTCGGTATCTCAATGATGAGTGGCCAAAAAGGAATGACTGGACGGACTTAATGCCTTGCCTGAATACCTTTGCTTTTGGATGGATTGGGCAGCTTGCGTTTGAATGATGATTGTATTATAAGAGTACGTAATACTTTGCGAGAGATTGTATCTATGAGATTATGAATGTTGAAAAATTCAATACGTTCCGAATGCTCGTGAGCTGTGTTCTATCCTAGCTGGCAGCAACGACAACCCGCAGCAAAATCGAGGACCGTATAGACCCCAATTAATGTCCTAGAACTTGTTTAGATGGGGTCAAAATACTTCTGATCCTTTCTTTCGGCCCACTTCTTAAATGGCAGAGTAATCAGATTTGAAATGATCAGTGCCCAGGATGGGGTTTTCACACATTTAAACGAGCAGGGCCCATTTTGAAGAATTGGGTATCGACGTACTCAATCATGCTTGACATTACATATCCCATTAGCCTTCGTCTAAAATTTATGACAACAACGGATCTTCTTTCAGTGTGTCCTCGTACACGCTCTCCAGCAAGTCTACTCGCTGTTGACTTCTTGGTTGTAGGTCGAAATCAAACTCCTTTGGCTGCACATTGAAGCCTGCGGCAAAGTCATAAACTGGCGGTATAATCTCTTTGCCGTTACCATCCGTGGCCCGAGAAATGTTACAAGCCCAAGCAAGCAGTGCGATCTTGAGATTGAGACTCCTTTCGGCAATATTGATGCCTTGGCAAATCCGGCGGCCGTGGCCGAACGCCGTGAACTGCTGCAAGTTGGGATAGACTGTGAGAGGTTCCTTATATGTCGGATACTTAGGATCCAACCAGCGGTCGGGGTTGAAGAGTTCGGGCTCTGGGTAGGTCTCTGGGTCGCGTTGAATAGCCCACTGCACGGCATGCACCACGGTCCCCTTCTTCAAGTGATACCCGTTGTACGTGTCGTCTTCCGTGAGGCGGTGAGGGAAGCCGCCGGCCGTGATCGGGTAGTACCGCAGAGTTTCCTTGACGCACGCCCTCACGAGCGGAAGCCGTGGCATGTCCTCGAAAGTAGGTAACCTGTCCGGTCCAACAACAGAGTCGACCTCGGCCTGAAGCTTCTCAAACCACCCAGGATTTCTTACAACACAGAGGATAAACGACGCAAGAGCTGACCCAGACGTCGTTCCCGCAGCCTGGAAAACAGATCCCAGCATCCAATTCGCCTCCCGCCGCGTGAGCCCCCACTGGTCTTGCGTTTCAAGCCACGTTCGCGCCCAAGAAGGCGACTTGCTCCGGTCAATCAACTCCTGGAAGAAATCCTCGTCGCGGCGCCTCCGTGCTCGGAGGTACTTCTTCCAGGGCGCCATCCACTCTGGCAGATACTTTAGCGACGGGAAGATGTCAACCAGGTACGCGCCCGGCGAGCCCACGCGCTCCAGCTCGTGGACGATGTCGAGCAGCATCCGCACCTCGCGGTCGTGGCCGGTCTCAGCGCGCAGGCCATAGATTATGCGCATGCCCAGCCCGACGCTGAACCGCTCAAAAAGAGCCTCGTAGTCGCGCGGCTTGCGGATCAGGTCGCGGAGTAATCTGACCGCCTCGATGCGCTGCTCCTTCTCGTACTGCGGCGCGACGGGCGACATGGTGACCTGATGCAGGAACCTCCTGTAGTTTCTCCATTTGTCGTCATAAGGAAGCAGCAGGAGCATGTGATCATCCGTCAAGAAGTGCGACGACGCCGGCGCGTAGTGCCGATCGCTGTAGATGTTGCCCCGCTGGCGGAGGAGCTCGTTGGCGGCGGCCTCGGTGCCGAGGAGGACGTGCTCCTGGCCGCCCGGGAGGGCGAGGCGGACGACGGGGCCGTGCTCTTTGATGAGCTCGTGGAAGGCCAGCCAGGAGTGTACCGGCGGGATCGAGAGGAGGTTGCCGATGAGGGGTTTGGGTTTTGGGCCTGGCGGGAGGGTTGTCCCCGGCGGATGGGCCGGCTTCTTCGGGCGGAGGATCGCGAAGAGGATCGCGAAGAGGATCGCGGCCCCGGCTGTCAGGTATGGGTCGACAAACCCTTGGAGCAGAAACATGATCACTGAGCTACACTATGCTGGATATCCACGATGATGCAGCAGTCGGATTGCGCATGGCTCGGTGGTCCGAAGACTTCCTGGGCGAGGCGACGACGGTGGCCATGATCTGAGGCCCTGAGAACTTCTTCAAGCTTTCGCGTTTCTTTGTCTCGTGAAAGAACCCCGCAGTGATAGCAGCCGTCATATCGGTCAAACCCCCACTCGTTTCCGCGGTATGCCAATGGGAGGGAGCTTTTTGCAATCTAGCAGCCCGAGAATGTAATATCTTTAGCGCACGCGAGTCATGCTCACCTTACCCTTACCGGCACTAGGTTCGGCTCCTCTATTCGCTGGAGGCCATCTACCAGTCGTTGCTGGAAGTATCTCTTGGTCCGAAGCCTCGGCCGTACAAAGTAACTCTCTGTTGCGACCGTACAGACAAATTCGATGCCGGATTTGGCTTGCGGCTTTGAAGATTATGGAAGCCCTGAGTTGCGGAATGTCCTTCTGGAGAATCTATGCGCCAAGGTGGCACAGCAGCAAGTGCCGACATGTAAACGAACCGTGGGGAGCAGTTGTCTCAAACAATCTGATGTGATTCGGCGGAACCCGGGCGCATACAGCTGCGCGAATTCCTCCTCCCCGCTTCTGTACCTCACAACCACTGCGTCGGGTTCGTGGACGCAGTGATTTCCAACTCACCTTACCCGCGTCCCGCCTGCATATGGATGACTCGGCAACCGGATCATACGGGTCCTGGCTGCGATCGTCCTACACGCCGGGGCCGGGACCGGCGCTGGCGCCGAAGTCAACATGCAGCCATACTTGCGCGAGGTCCCAGAGGCTGTGCTGAACGGCATTCTTCCACATGGTGTATCCTTAAGATTTGCTCTTAGCGTGTTGGTTGACCACACTTCATCTAGGTAGGGTTCCAACATTTTGAGTCGCACTGCTACTAATCTGGTCTAAGATTTCTAGGACCTCACGCATTGATTCAACGGAGATGGTAGACGGCATCCCACAAAGTCACCGATGAATATCCCACCGGGTGGTCATATCCTCAGATCACGATCCGAGTCATTATAGCGTGCTTTTCTACGACGACGGGATTGCTGTCGCTCGATCGATCCCTTTCCGCCCGGTGCCACCTATTTGACCTACTTAGCTTGTTATGTTACTCTGCTACTTCAGAGTTTCCTTCGCGATTTTTGCACTTTGGCACTGATTATGCTCCGGACTGACCGGAGTTTAGTGCATCATCGATCGGATGTTAACACAACATGGACCTAGACTGTAGACTATTTTGGTTGGGGTCCTTGGCCGAAGTCGAATAGTCTGTCTCCACGCCAGACTCTTCTTTACTCGTAGACTTACAGCGTAGGTAGGGTGAGGCAAGGTATTAACAAGTAGGCTGTAAACGTGAAGAGAAGCTGGCATTGAATGCCAAAACAAAGAGTGAAGAGTATCGAAAGGTCAGTCATAAACGCTATCATTATCTCATTATGTTATGGTACATGTAGTAATTATACTGACTAATTGATTCCGCTTTCGAACTTGACGTGACGAGTGGAATGGAACGCGTAGTCAAGTACTAACAACTCAACTTTTGGTCTAGAAATCGTAGAAAGATTATAATTCTGTATACACCTTTTTTTCTTCTTCTTATGTTTCTTATGAAACGAGCTTTTCGCGGGACTTTATGTAGAAGAAAGTAGGACTTGTCTCCTTCAATAATAAGCCAAGGTTTAATTCATCGGCATTGTACGTATGAGACAACTATTGTTGTCGAGTCGTACGTTTCTCTATGTCCATGTACAAGTGTCCGTGACTGTACCGTAATGTGGAATTTAGGTTTGAGGGTACCCTGTGACGTGCATGCAAGCAGACAACTGCGCCGTTTGCTGCCAGGCTGTTTTGGGTCCTCTCTCAACTTAATCACATTCTTTCATCTCACTACAACTCCCGACGTCGACGAACGTCGATTTGTAGGAATCACGTTGTTTAATTGAGTCTGGTAGGTGAGGTACCTCAGTGAGACATGACGAGTTGCGTCTCTGCTCAATATTTGAGCATGGTAAGGTGCACTCTTTCTAACTCTAAGAATCAGATGACAAAAGCGCAGAGCTACTCCACTAGTGTTTGAGTACATTAAATGGACCCATGAGGCTCTAAGAGTTTTCAGCAAGTCAATGTCATGGCCATCTTAGATAAAAAAGCATAATTGAGATATTGGTTCAATGTTCAATGGAAATCGCGGCTGGCAAGACCTTCCTCGGGATCGATTACTGAAAGCGACAAAATTGGGTAGTGTCAGTGCTCATGCCAAGCAAGGCACGTTGAGTCTTAGCAATTTGATGGTCTGAACTTTGATCGTGTCAACATTGTGAACCTTGACTCGGGACACAACCATACGCGACAACTCAATGTCTCTCAAGCCGGCGGCGAAATGAATCCTAAGTTCTTTTGATTACCTCGCCAAAGAGTATGTTGATTGAATCGTCCGCAGATGAGCTGCATAGAGCCTCCAAGAGCATCGCCGAAAAGCTTCAGGGTCTTCATCCCACTCTGACCAGGTTCATCTAATCCCAGCTCAGACCGGAGTGCGCCGGAAACACTCAAGCAACTCTGTTCGGATCGAAACTCTGGAGGAGGCTTAGAGACGTCACCTTGCGGCTGCAGCAGATCTGAAGTTCCCTCTTTTTACCGTTTACGAGCCCCTTTGCAATTTCACGCCTTAGTAGCCGCCCTGGAGGTTGCAGCTCCGAAAACGAGCTGCCTCATCAAGCCTAAACACACCTCATACCCGCCGAGTCCACTTGTAGAAAGGTGCCAAGACCTGCAAGACAGCGGCACCCAGGTCCGCGCCGTCATGTCAGCGGATGCGACGCAGGCACAGAAGGTCATGGCAAGGGTACCACACTACTCGTGGAAACGAGTTCGTGCTGAATTTTCCCGGTTCTGCAGCCACCTTTGCTTCCAGACAATCCTTTAGGGCGCGCATGCAGGTCACCACCCCACCAATCCTCGTCTCATGTTCCCGGGCGGTTCATCCGAGGGGGGATCCCTCCATCTCTTTCCAATCTGGGGATGCAGCTGCATGTAAATGGGACACTTTGACTACAGAGGACGATCAGCCTCACGGGGAAATGAAGGGCAGAGAACTGGTGGGTTCGGGGCAAATATGGCGCGAGAGACCGTCCGTCTTGGTGTCCTACATATTGAGTGCCCAAGACTTCCTCCCCCGCGAATCCCTTTGGAGCTCTTAGGGACCTAATGCGTACCTCTTTCTCATTCGTTTTCGTCAGTCTTTTCCTCGATTATTAAACACATCCTTGTACATATCATGAAGGGCATATTTAAGGCCCTGGCCACGGCGGTCCTCGCCACGGCCTCGCTGGCCCAGGAGTCGGCCCCGCCCTCCGCCTCAGCTTCGGCGTCAGCCGGGTCACCGCAGCCGTCTTCGGGTAGCCTCCCCGCCGTAGCGCCCATCCGGCTCCGTATCAACCCGGCCAACGTCCGAAACCTCGTCGACTCGGACTTCATCACCTGGACGATCCCCGGTTCCTCCAAGGCCAACATCACGGTCGCCAACATCACCGAGAGCGACGTCACATTCACCCTTGCCGCGGGCAACGGCTCCGAGCTGGCGGGCAACTACTACAAATACCAATACACGCGCATCCTCTCCTCTCTGGGCGAGCGCGTTGTCAACGAGGGCATCAGCAACTCCAACAAGGACGGATCGCCAATCACGCTCACGATCAAGGGCCTCGTGCCGGGCAACCACAGCCTGCTGACATGGCACAACGCCTGGGACGCCCTCAACGAGACGGCGACGATCGACATTTCCGTCAACGGCCAGACGGATCTGACGGCCGTCAAGCAGTCCGCGCGCGTGGACAACATCTGGCAGGCTGCGACCTCGTACCTGACGTTCGAAGTCACGTCCGCGACGCAGGAGACCAAGATCGTCTACACCCCCGGCAGCGGCGGCGACAAGCGGGCTTTCCTCAACGGGTTTGAGGTTGATGCCCCGTCGATGCAGAACCAGATTAGCTTCCCTACCCCCAAGCACCGCGACGAGCGCATCGAGGTTGCAGCGGACGACAGCGTCACTGCCACTTGGCAGGCTCCCGCCTCTGCTGAGGGTGTCAAGTACAATGTATACCTCGGCACGTCGCAGACTGACTTGAAGAGTGTTGCTGAGGGTGTGACGGAGACGAGCGCCAAGCTTCCTGGTAGGTTTTTGATACTCCTTATAGCTTCGCCGAACAGCTTATCTGATCTTGTGACAGGCCTCAACACCGTCGACAGCTTCTACTGGCGGGTCGATGTCGTTTCCGGATCAACTACCTACACCGGCCGCGTCTTCTTCTTCCGCGTCGCCCAGCTAGCCTTCCCCGGCGCCGAAGGTTGGGGGTACGTCTTCAGTCCCTGTCCTCATCGTAGTGCAATCTACTGACCACATCCACAGACGCTTCGCCCGCGGTGGCCGCGGCGGTAAAGTCATCAAGGTGACCAGCCTCGAAGACACCGAAGCCGAAGGCACCCTCCGCTACGCCCTAACCATCGCCAAGGGCCCGCGCATCGTCGTCTTCGACGTCGGTGGTGTCATCACGACCACCTCCCGCATGTCGGTCAACGACCAGTATATCACCCTCGCCGGCCAGACCGCGCCGGGTAAGGGCATTGTCATCCAGGGCAACCCACTCGGCCTTACCGGCGCGTCCGATATCATCTTCCGCCACATGCGTGTGCGTCCCGGCAAGGTCTCCGGGCAGACTATTGACGGGATGGGTATGCAGGGCTCAAACCATTGCATCTTTGATCGCTGCTCTATGGTATGTGCACTTCTCAATGTTGCAAGGAAGTATATGTAGCTGATAAATGATGAATAGGGCTGGACTATTGACGAGGCTTTCAGCTCGCGGTCTGCTTGGAACATCACCTTCCAGCGCAACATGATCTCTGAACCTCTCAACGTCGCCGGCCACAAGAACTACCCCAACGGCACGGCTCACGGCTACAGCGCCACCATTGGTGGCGACGTCGGATCTTTCCACCACAACTTGCTCGCCCACGCCGAGGGCCGTAGCTGGAGCATGGGCGGTGGTGTTGACGATAATGCTGCGTTTGCCGGCCAGCTTGATATCCGCAATAACGTCGTGTACAACTTTGGTATGTAACCCTCCAACCCTGAATAGAATGCAGCTTTTCTAACGTGTACAGGTGGTCGTGCTACCGACGGTGGTGCAAAGAAGGTGAACTTTGTCGGAAACTACTACAAGCATGGGCCGGCCTCTACGCTCACCTACGCCCTCCGAGCACAGGTATGAACGTTCTTCATAATCATAAATCTTATCGCTAATATCAGACCCCACAGTACGAAGACAACATGCCCGGCATGCAACAGTACTACTGCGCCGGCAACTCCATGCCCGGGTTCTTCGACCAGGACTCGGTCCAGTACCCCTCGGGCGACGGCACCGCGACGAAGAACACCACAATCGCCTGCTGGGCCGACGTCAGCTTCGAACCGGCCCCGACCTACCAAAAGTTCTTTGACAAAGAGTTTTTCGAGCCCCATGTCGAGACGCAGCCCTCGACCGAAGCCTACAAGCGCGTGCTCTCCGACAGCGGCGCCAGCCAGCCCGTCCGCGACATCCACGACGCGCGCATCGTCAATGAGACGACCACGGGAACCGCCACCTATGTCGGCTCCGTGTCGGGCAAGAAGGGTCTCATTGACGACCCCAAGGACGCGGGTGGGCTCGAGGATTTCCCGACCGTTACGCGCGCCGCGAGCTGGGATGCTGATGGGGACGGTATCGCGGATTGGTGGGATGGATCGACTGGCGGTGATGGGTACACTCCCATTGAGGGGTATCTCAACTTCATGGCTGATCCCCACGCGTACGTATCGCCTTCAAAGTCTGTCGAGGTTGACCTCGCTGCTCTGGCTTTGGGATTCAAGGAGCCTACTTTCACGGTTACTGGGGCGAAGAAGGGAGAGGTTACTGTCAGCGGGGGCAAAGCTACGTATGCCGCTGGCGCTGAGGCCGGTATCGATCACCTTGAGATCAGCATCAAGGACAGCGAGGGGAGCACGTGGACCAGGTCGTTTGGTGTTGCCATCTTTGCTGGCGCGGAGGAGGCGTGAGTGAGCACACACAAAGCGCCATCATACATTTCGATTCTTTAGTTAAAATATGTTCATCCTAGACGCGTGGTGCCCGAGTCATCACCATTTCTTTCTCTTCCCAGATGCTGTCTTCTCTTTAGTTGTTATAGCCTGGTTGCAGCGATCATGTTCACCATGTTCGACACCTCACGCTGGCATTTCATTCATCACCAGGAACTGTCATCATGAGAGCAAAGCAATACATTCCCAACTTTTGGTTCAAGTACCTTGTCTGATATCCCTGAAGCCTAGCAGAAGAATAGTCTGCCCCGAATAACTCATTACATAAATCCTTTCCCCCCGATGCATAACGCTATGCTTCATGTATAACACTCATAAACCGGGCACTACAAAAACAAAAAGAAAAATAGGCTGCTGGCCTCGATGAAGGGTACATGTTTGTTGCCACCGCTGCTAGTACAGCTCCTTTGGGCCGGGGCTAAGTCCATGTCTCAAAGATGAACTTAGGTAGAGGTAGGCTCGGCGCTGAGGACCAGACGAGCAAACTTGTTGCAGTTGCCGGTGCGAGAGTCGCAGGTAGGTTGAGCAGCCAAGCAGGTGATGGTGGAAACCGTGTAGGTGGAGTACTTGGGCGCGACGCTCGCCGTCTGGGTGCGCGTGATGTAGGCATAGCGGTACAGGCAGACGCTCTGGTCAGCAGGGACGGTGGCCGTCTGCGTGATGGTAGCCGTGGCCGTCTCCGTGATGGAGGCGGTGACGGTGGCGTTGACAACTTCGGTGCGGTAGGCCATCGTGGGCACAATCTCAGTGGAGTAGATGGTGGTAGGGACCGTGGCGATGTTGTACTGGGTGGACTCGACGGTGGCGACTTCCGTCTCGTAGACTGTGGTGTCGACGACGGCGGTGGCGGTGGTGTAGACGGTGCTTCCGAGAGTGGTGACCTCATTGACGGTAGAGACGTGGGTCTCCGTGGTGTACTCGGTCGCGTAGACGACTGTGGGCACGGTGGTGGTCTCGTCGAGGTAGACGGTGGAGTAGGCCGTGGAGGTGGAGTACTCGGTGGAGGGAAGGGTGGTGACGTCCAGGACAGTGGAGTGGATGGTGGAAGGCTCGCCGATGACGGTAGGGGTGACTGTGACGGTCTCAGAGGCCTCGACCGTGGCACGAGCGGTGCGGGTGAGGGTAGTGGTGGATGCGGTGGTGCGAACGGTGGCGGTGAGGACGAGGGTCTGGACGGCTGCCGTGTTGCGAGAGGTGTAGGTCAGGGCGAGGGTGGTAGTGGAGGCAGTGGTACGCTGGGTGTAGGTAAGAGTGAGGTTCTCAGTGGCGACGGTGGTGCGAGAGGTGGCCGTGTACGTCTTGCTCTCGGTGGTGACGGTGGTCTTGATGGTCTTGGTGACGGAGGTGGTGGTGTCAATAACGGCGGTGATGGCCTTGTCGCCGAGACCGCTGGCCACGGAGGCAGGGATGGAGCCATCGCCGTTGTTGGCGGCGGCTGCGGCGGAGGTAGTGATGGCAGCATCTGCGGCTGCAGAGGTGCCGGAGATGGCTGCGGCCGAGACCATACCCGCGATAGGGAGGAGGCTGACGAGAGACTTGATGAAATGCATTTTTGCGAGATGGGTATTGTGCAAGTGAGCGACAGAAGTGAGTGACTGTGAGTAAGAGTGAGTAAAATCTCGCAGGAAGCAAGCTGAGGGAAAGAGTGTAAGAGAGTGAGGGTTCGGTGACTGGCAGTGGTCTGCAGAGGCTGATGAGGATAGAAGATTGTGAGTATGTTCGACGATGTTCTGATTATTATAGGATGTTGAAGGTGTTGCCAGAGGTGGTCTAGAACTTGGACTCTGAATCCACGAGTCTCTCACGAGATTGCTTTCCGATTACGCCTTTGCAGCTGACATGGCTTTGCGAGTCAATGTTGGAAAAACGGCATGAGGCTTGCGTGGGAATGGTGACTATCGCTCAATAGCTTACGACGCACATGCGGTGATTCCGTGGTCCGCACTGGCGGTGGACCACTTTGACTTCCTCATGTTGAAATGGTAGAGTGGCTGGTGACCTGACACGTTGATAGACTTGGCATGTGTAAGTCAAGGCCCGGGGCCTAGCTTGGGAAACGTTGTTGATGGTCCTTCGCAGATGAGCCAGTAAGATCTTGGAAGCGAATCTGAGGCTAGAGAGAAATAGCCTTCGGTGAGCATTAGCTTGCCGTTGCGCTGGTATCGTGTGAGAGAAGACGATGCCTCATCAAGGAATAGACTCATTTCCGAGATTGTGGAAAAGAAAAAGTCGGTGGATATCTGCCTTCGCGAGCTACCGGGCCCAAGTCTCCGGAACCTGCTACTTTGAACGTAACTGTGGCAGCTGCTGTGCCATTCTGGTCTTACCCCAGTTCTGGCATAAGGCGACGTTTTCTTGTTCATGTGCTGACCTTTCTGGCGCAGTTGTTAGTTCACTAGTTTTGTTCGGAGAGGTTTCCCAACGGAGCGGGAAATTGGGGGCGGGAAGTCAAAAAAGCCGCGGAGGGCTCCGTCCGGGCGGCATGCGGGATGGGGGGGGGGGAGGGTACCGTGGCCGGCGATACGTACTCACTCGTTATGTGCATAAACCATCTAAAACTAAAGACGTATACTCCCCCTTCGCTCTAGTTTCTTTACGCCTAGATGCGGCACACCAGGGGTTGCCTTAGGAGAAGAAAGAATCGGCGCCAACTTAGCTTCAATACTGGTTAGACCTGAGTCGCCGAGCCGCGTGTCTTGAAGCTAAAATGTTAACATGGACCCTTGTTGCTGGGCAAATCTGTTCCCCAGCACCCCCAGACTAAGCTTATTCGGCTACCAGTGGCTTGGTGCACTCCGCGCTTGACGAGTAGTTCCTTCAGCTCATATATTCGTGCAACTACAGACCTCTTGCTTGCTAAGCATCAATGCCTGCCGAGTTCCTGCATGTGATGCATTGATAGAAAGTGAACAGTGGTATGAGCACAGACGTAGCCTAAGAGGACGCTTCTGCTGTCGACTCGATTGACATGACCGAAAAGTGAAAACTTCAGCGAATTTTGTATTGCGGTCCATGAGAGCGATGACAGCGTTGGTCTGTGAGCGCACACATGGCTTACACGGACTTTCCGTCTCGGGTTGTTACGGATAGTACACGTAAAGTTGCTGCTTACGATGTGTTGGAGGTTGTGAAGTTGAGTCTAAGGAGGCACGTTTACAAGAGGACCTTGAAACTTTGTGCAACCGTTGGAACCGCCCAGCTTCATTGGAGGGCTATCATACAGGAGCATAGAGAATTTGAATATGTGCAGTGAATTTTATGAGAATTACAACTCCTCCTTGTACTAGATCTAAGTATATGTATCTATGTAGCATCTTTTCTGGGCAAAATACCAAAGTGAAATCAACAAGAATGAAATAAGTAACTCATGTCTAAGAATAGAAAGGTGGAATGGTTGATTAGAAGGTCCAAACATGCCTTCAGGTGAATTATGTGCCAAAGCTGTGGCTTAGAGCACTTCTGGCGGCGAGGGAGGCCGAGAGATGGGGCTTTCCGGCCTCTCAGCGCCACCTTTGCCCTCTTCTGCCTCTGAGAGCTTGTCTTTGGGAACGGGAGGCGGTGCAGCAGACGATGCGGTGACGCCAGACATGCCCCAAACAGCGTTACCGAGGTTCTTGGCAACAGCTGAGAAGATGATGATGGACATAAACGGCGAGACGAACTTGTTGACAAAGAATCCGAGAATAATCTTGTGGGCGCGCTGGCGCAGAGCTGGCTCCACGGCCAAGCAGACACAAAACCAGATAACAGGAAACTGGCCCACCACAAGCAGCGGGAGAATATCCCAAGGGTTGAAAGCCTGGATGAGGGCGCGGATGAAGAGAATGGTATTGAGGACGCGGTAGTACACCAGCGTCTGCCGGGCAATATCAATGGCGGCAGCAATCCGCGTAATGAGGATCATGTTCTCGCCGCCACAGTAAAAGTAGTTGTTGAAGTAGGCGTTGGAACCCCATCGTCGGCGCTGGTGAACGTAGTGCTTGAAGGACTGCGGCGCGACTGTCTCGGAGACGGCGCCGGGCACGAAGATTGTCTGCAGCTTGGAAGACTGGCTGAGCATGCAGTACGTCAGACGGCGGTCGGTGCCGAGGTTCTGGACTTGATGGTGGACGACCCAGTCTTCCTTGACGGGGCGCGCGTATTTGGCAATGGCTGCGGCCATCTCCTCGCGGACGGCGACCATGGTGACGCAGCCTGGAAGGCAGGTGACTTTCCCGATGAAGCCTTCTGCGCGACGCCGGACGAACTGTCCAAAGGTGTACTGAAGCTGCTGATAGAGGTTCCAAAACGACCACTCGTATCCAGGCTCGAGCTCGACGAGGACGATGCCGCAGCTGGCGATGGCGTTCTTTTCGCGGGCGAGGGCGTTGGCGAGCTTAGCGACGCAGCCTTGGTGAATGACAGAGTCGGCGTCGGTGCAGAAGACCATGTCAAAATTCTTGAAGCCGGTCCCCTCGGTCAGGGGTGGGAGTATAGTACGCCAGATTTCCTCGCGGAGAAGGCGGGTGTAGGTGGGCATATTGTCTCGGGGGGCGTCGAAGAGGTCGTGGGTGAGGATGAGGGAGTCCTTTTTGCCGCTGTTCTTGACCTTTTTGATCACGATGACGGGCACATCCTGCATGAAGCCGGCGGTGATTTTGAGTGTGCCCTTCTTGTACTTGAGAGAATGGTAGGGGCGTTCAATGTCGACGACGATACGGGAGAACTCGCGCTTGATGTTTCGCGGCTTTCCATCCAGGACGATGCACATGACTTGTTTGTGCGGCTCGCAGCCATTGTCGCGGAGAGAGTAGACCGTCTTGATGAGCTGCTCTTCGCTTTCCGAGTAAGCTGGAATCAGCGAGAGGATCCATCGTTGAGAAACAGGTGCGGGAGGGCGAAAGTGCTTGTAGATGGATGTTCCGATGAGGTAGATGAGCGAGAGAAGCGAGGACAGGAAATCCTTGCACTTGACGAACAAGATAAAGACGAGTGTGGCCAACCCGGTGTTGCCAAAGCATGCAACAGCAGCAAGAGCGATGTTGAGGCAGAAGACGATGAGGATGAATGTAATTCGCTGCATCGTCAGCTCCCACGGGGTGAGCTTCTTGTTGGGGTTCAGGGGGTCCGAGAGGATCGGCCAGCCGTAGTCGGTGACGAACTTTGACGGCTTCTCGATTTGGCCATCATCTTGGCTGAGAGTACTTCTGCCTCCGCTTGTCTTGCGTCTTCCGCTTACGCTGGAATCTCTGGATGAGATGGACGTCTGGGGTGTATTGGGTCTGCTATCGCTGGCGGCAGAGTAGGCATCCCACTCTCCTTGACTTCTCCAGGAGTTGGGTGTTCCGGGACGAAAGACACGAGAAGGAGGCCGCTCAGTTGTTGAGAATTGTATGCTGAGCCTCTGTGATAGAGTCTTGACGGTCCAACGCTTTTCATCTGTATGCACAGGCTGTGGGCGGGAAATTTCTGGGTGACCCATGGTGTTCTGAGTAGCTTCACTTTCGGGATATGAGTGGTGTTGTGGACATTAGACACACTTGACGTGGTGCTGAGCTGTACTCAGAACGGAGCGAGCGGAAGCGTCCGATGAGTTCAGGACGGTAGAGAGAGTGAATAGGTCACAGAGTATCCTTGTGAAAGGACGGCACCGACAACACGTCGGGAGTAAAGACTGGACACCACGAATGGTGATGATCGTTGGATGTGAATCTCAGAACTAGGATGCAGCAAGGGAAAAAGAGTAGAAAGGAAACATCTCGGGCTTTGCAAGAAGGCACACTTTTGATCGACTTGATCGGGGTGATTGCCGCCCCCCAAACTGCCCTCTCTTTGGCCCCGTCAAGCTTTCCATGCGAGCTCAGAGCCACTAGCCTGAGCAAACTCTTGGTATTGAGGCATGTAAGATTACCCATCATCAGCTCCGGCATGACGCCGCAGAACGTCGGGGGGGCTGCGAGGACCAAATCAGGTAGCCTGTGGTAGCTTCGGCTGCCAGGTCGTTGTTGACCCAAGATCTTGGGACAGGAATACGATTGATTCCTAATGAGGCCAAGAAGCCGATTGTGTCAAAGTCAGGACTCCATACTTCGCGGCCCTAGCTCTCCACCGCTGTCAGTCGTCTGGGAATATACCGCATCCTTCCATATTTGAGCCGGCAGAGAGGTGGCCCTCAGTATGACTGATTGGCTGTAATACCGCAACAAAATCTCTTCGTCAGCCAAAAGTCTGAGCACCTTACAAGATGCTTGTAATCTATGAAGCTGTACTCAGGTAATATCTAGTTGACAGCCAGCCAAGATTGTGGAAATTGCCCAACACAGACTAGCTTCAACCAGCGACTCGAGAAAATCGGATAATAACGTCGGCAGTAGTATACCACTTCGGAGAGTGCATAAAGTAAACATTCCAAGTCCGGTTCCTGGTATTAGCCCCGGGATTGCTGATGTTGAGACGCTGGACACATGTTAGCCGCAGGCGGCTGAGGCACTATGTATCAATAAGGATCTGTATAGTTACTTTCCGTTGGCACCAATATGCTCGTAGGGGTCCAAAGCAGCGTCGAGAAACTTTCCGCGATCCACGCCACCAAGCTTGGATTAAGCTTAAATGCCAAGGCCCTAAGTCTAGCCATGGCCGATGGGATTCGACAGCACTAAGTAGTATCCACGGATCCCGCGTGTGGCTTTCAGCCCACAATCTCGAAGCACATTAGCGCCCCCGGCGAAAGGAGTTGTGAAATCTGGTGCAATTGCGCAATCGCTTTCCACATTGCCACGAGAAGTCTGGTCTCTTTTGCCCTCGACGTCTTACTGGTGTATCCGTACTTTTTGCCCACTTCCCGGCGTCTGGGACGGAAGCAATGGAAGAAGGCATACGCAGTACTGTGTTTGAAGCCAGTACATATGTGTCGAAGCGTATTGTCAGTCGGCCGGAATTGTCCGATAGAACAAATATGCTGTCCATGTCGTCTTGTAGAGGCACATCGGCCTTATTATGTTACAAAGCAACAGCTCAGCTCCGGCATGCATTTTGCTCCGAAGTCATAAATCGTTCGACGTAGTAGCGAAAAGATCTAGACCCCATATTCAAGTCTGGACCCTGAAGCTTGACTGGATCTGGGGGAATCTCTTAACTGCGCTGATCATCTCCTTTGCTGGGATAGACATGAGACAAGACCCTCCAGAAAGGAACGAAGGATTCGGGACGGACCCCAAATCTTTGGGAATGGGTTATCTGGGGGACAGTGTTCTACTACCGGCGATGCCAAGTGTCATCAAACCTTTTGCTTTTAGCGGCTACTAGTTGCAAAAGCTGTGCATGGCTAGCTGGCAGCCTTACCTCCATGTCCGAA